TCTGAACACTTCTCGGCAGACGTTCCCCGTACACAAGAAAGAGCACGTTATCGCGAATTCCCACAACGATTACGTCGCGGACCAGGCGAAAACGATGGCGACGCAGAAGGACTCGATATCGTATGCAACCGGTGGCGATAGCGAGACAAACGCTTCGTCACGGAATCACGGTTACGGAATTACGAAGACCATGAACCAAACTTCCTCTGAGAATCCCTTCCAACGAAGTTACTCCAAGCTGAGCAAGAGCACCGACATGTCAGACAATTCAGCGATGAGTCGAGAGACGAAACTGAGCGACGTGCTGGGCTCCAAGTCCCAAGAGCAACACAGTCACGTGCGCGACTCCGCGAGCTATGCTTCCACGAAGAAGCTGGACGTGGATCAGTTCGTTCAGTCGTTTCAATATGAGGTGAAGGAGGCGATGAACAACCAGCCGGAGCGCAACATCCTAAACGCGAGCACCGACGATATGTTCACCGGCAAACGCGACGACGCGCACACTTACGTTTCTTATGCCAGCAAGGACAACAAGAAGAGCAATACTGTAGCGTCCACCAACACCATGGCCAGCAACAAGCCGATGGTGCAGCAAAGCGTAGTGCCACGTTACTCGCAGACATTCGTCAACACGTCCAGTTACGAGCAGAGCACAGCGACGGAGAATCATGCCAAGTCCACCACTACCATCGCTCACAACGCATCCAATATCAACATCGTGTCGTGGACGACGCTCTTGCCGTCGTCCAACGGCGGCGGCAGCGGCAACAACCCGGTGCACTTCGAGCATGCTCCGCATCCAAGCAATAATACCGAGGCGAAAAATATCTGCGACAACTACAGCTACATACAAGCTCTGCACAAAGAGAATCCGAATTTCCCCAGTCATGTGTTGGCTAGCGACAGTTATCCCAACAGCTCGACGATCTCCGGGATGGATAAGCCCAGGGGGAAGATGGAATCGCAGAAACAGTCTTTCGTCGATCCCTCGAAGAATAGGAATGATCCGTCGAACGTCACGTCGGTGGCGAAGCAGAGTAGGATGCAGAATCAACAGAATGGTAACAATTACAAGTATACCGACAGCGGCAAGAGCAAGAACAAGTACGCTATGGACTCCTCGGATTATATGTCGAACGAATACACTGCCATGGATCAGCAGCAGCAGCAGCAGCAGCAGCATACACCGAAGAACCATCAGAGCCTATCATCCAAGCAAGAGAAGACTGTATACAACATGCCGAGTTACGATCCTCAAATCAATTTCGATTTAGCAGAGAACAGCATACAAATCAAATATTCCGTCGAGGCTTACGCCGGTGCGAATTTCAAATATACCGAGAAGACTCAGCAGCAGCAGCAGCAGCAGCAGCAGCAGCAGAATCAACACAAGTATCAGCCGTTAAGCCAAGGTCAAATTTCCAATTTGCCGCACGACAGCAGCAGCAGTTACAACAGCGACATGAAACATGGCCAGCAGCAGCAGCAGCAGCAGCAGCAATCGCATAACAACAGCGGCAATAACAAATCCAAGGGAAATCAGCATCAGCACGCGATCAAGGCGCCGGTTAACTGGATGATGACACCGGAGGTCAAGCACAATACTAATATCGATATTATCCTACCGCCGATCGGCAAGGAATTAGAGTTCTGTCCGAACAATCTGTTCGCTCAGACATCCAACTACAATCAGGTTGGCACGCCGAATCAGTTTTACAACAATTACGACGTCGCTGCGCACAGTTTCTCGAATTTGCCAGTCCTGCAAAGCAACGATCCGAAGCGACCGACAGATATCTTTTACTCCGAGGAACAGCCGTTCCCTTGGTCGCCGACGAAGAGCGGTGTGCACAACGTGGAGCACGGACAATCGTCGGTCAAGTGCATCGACCAGCATATTGTGCCGTCGAGTCTGCAGACTCTGGTGAGCGACCTCGATCTTGGTGTCAATCTGACGGAAAAGCAGAACTTCTTGTTCGGCGCGGCGCCGTCTTCTAGGCTCACTGCGGAGCCGGGCAAAGATGTTATCAAGGAAAAGGAGACGAACGTGCAGGGGCGAGACTTTCATGTGATGCTGAATTCGCAGAACGCTCAACATCCGGCTTCCACCACCTTCCTGTCCGTGAGTCAGCTTGTGGAGCACGAGAAGGCGGAGAAGTCCCATCAGCAGCAAAATCATCAACATCATCATCAACATCATCATCCGCATCAACATCAACATTCGCAGCAGCAGCAACAGCAACAGCAACAACAACAAGCCAGGAAACATCAGAGAAAGAGTAACACGAGCCCTAGAACTACCAGTAAACGACATATGGACATTCGCAAGTCCACGACGACCAATGACAGCTTGCATCAACGACACGAAGAGCAAAAATCGTCCGGGAATGTGTTTACAGAGCAGAACTATCAACAACCACCGCCGCCGCAACAGCAGCAGCAGCAGCAGCAGCAGCAGCAGCAAAAGTATCAGCAGAACAATGTACATTGGAGAAATAGAAATTGCAAGAGCAACTACACCGCAGAGGCGTTAATTGGCACTAGCATTCACGACGGTAGTCATCAGGATAAACATGCGTCAATCAAGTTCACGGCGAATTATTCGCAAAACAAATTCCAGAGCAGTTTATCCAGCGCGGACGCCGCAGTGATGCCGATAAACTATTTCCCGAGCGCGGATGATGGCACTGGTTACGGTCAGATGATGAATCAAAATTTCAACTCGTACGCGTACTCGTCTAATGCCAATTCCATTTACCCTTCGAGCAATTTCATCACCAGCATCTCCAATGCACCCAACAGCTACATGATGCCGCTTCATGAGAATGCCACCGATTATATGGAGGCGAACAGTTTCCTATTATCAAACGTGACAAGCTCATCGAATGCCAGCACGGTCAACACTTCCGACACGAATACGACCTCCACCACTGCTAATACGGCGAAGAATCATTCGCCGCATTACGGGAAGTATCCCAACTGCGACAAACGTTCGTATTCAATCGCCGCGAAGAAGGGTAAGCGAAAGCCTCTCGACGGTCCGATGCAAAACTTGGAGTTCCCCCCCTTGTCCAATACAAATTCACCATTGGAAGACTACCATCACTCGACCGGCTTTCTACCGCCGCCGCCGCCGCCGCCGCCACCGCCACCGCCACCGCCACCGCCGCCACCGCCACCGCCGCCGCCGCCGCCGCCGCCGCCGCCACCACCACCGCCACCTCCCTCGCTACCGCCACCACCACCTCCGCCACCACCACCTCCGCCACCACCACCACCGCCACCACCTCCGCCTCCACCGGCACTACCACCGCCATCAGCACCACCACCACAATCACAAAATCACACTCAAACAAATGTCTACGCCAAGACTGCGAATGGTCTTCCGCCACCGCCACCGCCGCCGCCAGCCGTAGCGGGGACTCAGGGTGTCACAATCGTAGGTGCATCAGGTTTTTCGATGAACTCCAACATGGTGCGAGGAGTCGTTTCGAGTAGTCCGATGGCGATGCCGCATCATCCATCAGGCACCAGTCTTACTAACTTCAATCTGAGCACAATATTTCCTGAAATGAACGACAAGGTAAGTGTACGATCTCCGTACAGTCGAGCCCAAACTATTCGAAGTTGCGGTTGCTACTTTTTCAAGTTTAATCTCTTATGAATCTATGTAATCTCCATGGTAATTTCAGGTTACCGGCTACAAACCCTCAAATGGTATACCACCTGGTCTGTCGCAAACGTCTAATCAGCCTACGGCTTATGCGCAACGAACTAATTACCCATCGAACTCCCTGTGTCATTTACCGCAGGTCTGTTTATAGAGCTCGCACGCAGTCCGTATCCGATTATACGTGAGTCTACGGATAGCGTATATATATGCAGGCTGTCTGACAACGTCAGTAACGCTTCTATACCAACTTCGTCAGCATTCCGTGTTCCGTGTATTGAGAAGGGATATCTATATATTGAAAAAGGGAAGATTATGAGCGAGTTATACACAAGAGCGCGTTGAAAATGAAATCGAAGTACGTTAGAAGCTTACACTTCGCTACAAAGTTATAACAAACTTATGTAGCGCAAGGGAAACGAAGAAATGAAATTCTTGGCTGTCTCTAACAATCTCCAGAAAGATAGTTAGTAACGGTATGTCGGAAAAGTTTCTACAGGCAGCACGACACTCGTCAGATATCCTGCACGATACTTGTATTTGTATGAAAGCATGCGGTTTATTAGTAGCGTTTCACCATATGCTCCTACTACTCCTATTCTCCTTCCATCTTAGTAGTCTAATCTATTGCAAAATTCTATGAATAGGTTCATAGTTTGTGATACGATTAATCAACTTTTGTACATATGTACATTACTGTATGATTGATTAACTTAAAGACGTTAATACGGAAGAAAAAGTTCTCTTCTTTTTCCAACCGGAATTCATTTCACAGGTCGACAAAATATTTTTACATCCATGTCTTTACCATATTATACACTCGATACTTGTTCACGGAGGCAATTCACACAAGTCAATTCACTTTATGTCTTTAGAAGGAGGTTTCAGTGGTATTTTACCAATGGTGAACTTTTCGGCCAAGAACATGCTCTTTTCGTCGTCCGTTAACGCATTCTCTGCGCTGTAAACGCTGTCATCGATAATATTGCTAATTATGGTAACAGCAATCGATGTATTGCCGAACGGAGACGCGAGACTGGTGATGCCGGTAAGTTGATTCTGCGCAACACTGCTAAACGGCGTGCTACTTTGCTGTGTCCGCGGTGCGAACGGATTTGTCGTTGTCGTTGTCGTTGTCGTCGTCGTCGTCGTCGTCGTCGTCGTCGTCGTCATTGTCGTCGCCGTCGCCGTCGCCGTCGTTGTCGCCGCCACCGTCGCGGCTGCGGTCGTGTTAATTGCACCGAATGGCGAGGCACCGAACATTGGCGCGGGAAACGGTGAAGCATTCGGTACATTTACATTCGAGGAAACAAAGGTAGTTCCTACATTCGCAAACAACGAATTAGAAGACGTAGCCGCGGCACCAAACGTGTCGCTCGCGTTCGCCGCAGCCAGGCCGAATCTCGCACTGCCAAATGGTGCCGACGAAGTTGTGTTTGTGGAGCCGAATTGTGAACTCGTTGCAGTGACGAACGGACTGTTAATAACCGGTTCTTCGAACGGTGTATTGTTACCTATCGGTATAGTAGTGGCGGTATTCTGAGCACCAAAGACGTTCGGTGCGGCGGACACGGTAGTTCCGAAGGTATTAGCGACAGGTTGCTGAGCCAAACCAAAAGCCGGCGTTGTGGCAGCGACTGATGATGCTCCAAAGCTCGGCGCTGTAGTGGAAGTGGATATCCCACCGAAAACTGGCGTCGTAGCCGGTGTTACGGTAACAGCGGATGCTCCGAAACCAGGCGTCGTAGCAGCGGCGGATGTGCCGAAGATACCGCTCGATGATATTGCTGGTGTACCGAACGTTTGAGCGGATGAGCCGAACATCGAACCGGAATTACCGGTATAGTTAGCCGCTCCTCCGAAAACCGGTGCTCCACCGAAAGCGGGTAATGTCTTTTGCTGACTGAATAATCCGGCGTTGAAGGGACCAGACGACGTGGTAGCGCCAAAGAGTGAATTCGTCTGGGTGTTTGACGAGGTACCACCGAACAAGCCCGCGGTGGTGGTTTGCGTTGTTCCAAACAAAGAAGTGTTCGCCTGGGAGGTCATCGAACTGTTGAACAACGAGGTGGAGGACGTTGCACCACTGTCGAACGCCGACGTGGTTGACTGCGAGCTCAGCTGGTTCGCACCGCCGAATACGTTATTACTCTGACTGAACATGCCTTGGGACGTTCCACCGAAAATCGCATTAGATTGAGATGCGACAGTCCCAAACGCCGGCGTGTTCGTTGTCCCATTGAAAATTGAGCTGGTGTTGGTTGCGGCGCCGAAGCCGAGATTGTTCCCAAAGGTCGGTGTACCGCCGAACATGGGAGCCGTCGTATTATTGTTGGGTCTTCCGAATATCGACGTATTGCTCGAGGAGGCGAATCCTCCACTGAATGAATTGCTGGTTTGTACACCAAATGTTTGTTTCCCAAATACGTTATTGGCTGGTGTGCTATTAGCTAGACCTAGCTGAGGTGCTGCAAGAAAGGAACGAGATGACTTGTCAGTTGTTGCGTCATTATTTGGACCCAACCCACCTTTTTGACCACTTCCCAGAAGCTTTTTCTGAAACAAGACATCTGATGATTAGATTTTATCTACTAGTAAAAGCAATTATAGCAAAAAAGAATCATGATGTACAACGTACCAACATGGTTATCGTCTCCCGATTCGGATTTTTCAATGCATCTCTCTTAGCCTTCATATCTTGGCACAGTTGTTGAAAATGCAGTTTCTGAATGAAATTATATAAAAGCCTAACATATATTATGCATTACAATATTATGCACGTGCGCGCGCGCGCACGCATGCGCACACACATACACACATACATACGTCATGAACATATTCTAACAATATGCTAAGACAGAAAAAATATTCTAGATATTTTTTAAATGACGTAAAGTTTTGTTTTCTTTGAATAATTTATATATATATGTGAGTTTTACTGACTGCTTGTTCAACAATGCCATTTTTCTGCGCTTGGTACATATCCCATCGAACTTCCTCTGGAGACAAATCCTCCATACCTGGGATACTGGGACGTTCTTTGAGTGGTGCAAAACATGACAACAACCATTGTCCACCTCTTTCAGCAAGTAAAACCTCTTTTGCCACAATGACCCTAACATTGTACGGAAATAAATATAATAAAAACTGATTTTACTTCTCAATAAAGGGACATCACATAAATAGACAATTGCAACAAATTCTTGTGATACTTACGCGATTTCATCCTCGTTATACAAGTCTGCTTTGGGACCACCTATTTTTAAAGTTAATAATAATGTTAAGGCAAAAAGATATCAAGTTATAATTTAAAGATATTGCTAATATTTGCCTTACCAAAATGATTAACATGTTCGAATTGACAATATTGTCCGTAACGACAATTGCCTTGCCGATAAAATTTGCAGATAACCATTTTTCACACTCCTAAATTGTGTACATACGTCTAAAACACACCAAACACTCACTCTCTCTCTCTCTCTCTCTCTCTCTCTCTCGCAGGCTGCGTTCCGAAATTCATTGCCAATGCTGAAAATCTATACTATATGTGACACAAACTATGTATTTTCAGTACTGGCAGTGAATTTCGGAACGGAGCCTATGGGTCCGTTCTTGGCCGTTTTCCAGCTATGACAAGTGGCCTATTCTTTTTAGCTGCACTACTGAACTGGTGCAATAAGTTAAAGCGAGAAAAAATATAGTTGTCTCATTGTAACTTATTGCACTAGTTCCGCAGTGCAGCTAAAAGGAACAGACTATGACTGCGTTCCGTTTCATGCATTATGCGCGCATTTCCTACAGTATATGTGACATGAACTATATATAAACGCGCGCATATGCGTGAAACGGAACGAGGCCCATACGTTTACACGGCTTCTAAAGCCAGCGGCACATGGTGCTTGTTTTCGTGCTGGATTGCTTGCTGGATGAAAATACTGCGTTCTGATTGGTATATTTTCGAAGATGGATGGAAATGCACCAATCAGAATGCAATATTTTCATCCAGCAAGCAATCCAGCACGAAAACAAGCGTCGTTTAAGGCCGCTGGCTTAAGGGCAAGAGCACAGGCTTTTGCATAACACATAATACATAACGCATAAGAGAATAAACCAATTAGTTTTCTTCATTTCCCTCCTCAGGATAGAAATGAAGAACTCTGATTGGTTGATTCTCTTATGCGTTATGTAGAAGTCTGTGCTCTGGCCTAATTGGCCGTATACGACCGTATTCTATGACTTTACGACTCTGGCTGCGTTCCGAAATTCGCTGTCAGTACTGAAAATACATGGTTTGTGTCACGTATACCATAGAATTTCAGTGCTAGCAGTGAATATCGGAACGCAGCCTCTATTGTAGACGATCCTAACTTGAACGACAGCGATTACGACCTCTCAAGCGACTACCGCCACGACTCTACGACCATATTTTATGATTCTACGACCCCATTGTAGACGAGGCATTCCAATCCAATTTCAGCGACTATTGTAACGACTTAAGCTACAATAGACCAATCAGAGGAAAGATTTTATATATCACGCTATGTAAACAACGTGGGAAAATGATATCGGTGTGTAGACGGCACTTATTTATTCATTTTTGATAAAGTCACCTTCGCAAATTTCATCAGTGTCACAAGGATCAGTGATAAAGAATTTATCAGCAAAATCGCCTACTTGCAATAAAAATTTTATTAATATTTCTGAAGGCAAATGATTGATAAATTACTATTTTCCACAGAAAACTTAATCATTAATTACATTCTTAACACTTCTAAATAAATTTCAGATGGCGAGAATATTGATCCAGCAAATAAGCATAACCTCAAAGTGCCTAAAACATATATCAGAAAAAGAAAGAATATAAGTCTTGATGTGAATTCTCTAATTATGGAATCATCACAGGCTGTTACTGCAGCCTGTTCAGCTTTGCCAGCATTGCTGAACAGTACAACTTCTACGCCAGATACAGAAGAAGAGAAAAGTATGGTGACAGTCTTATTACATGGAATAAAACGTGTACCTATGCAACAAAGAATAAAATGTTTTATCAAACTGTTGGAAATATTGGAATCATTTCAACATGAGTGAATAATTATATAGTCATTGCTGATAGAAAATATTAAAAATATAATTGTCCTATTATAGCATATGTTATAGTGTAGTTGGATTCTATATGGAATATTGTCAGCAATTAGCAGAGAAAGTTATGTAAATGTTATAAAATTGATCTGATTGGTATATATTTTTAAATTCAATCAAGATTAAAAGCATACCATCAATCAGATTCATGTATTTTTACACAGTTGCAAAACTTTCTTCTCTATATTCTCTATATAACAGTTGTACTGTTAAAAGAAGAAAACTCAATATGAATATTAAAAGTAATACTTTTGTGGAACATACAGTTTAATTATGAAACAATAGCCTTGCTTTGTGGTATCAACAGATTTTCATAAGATATATCATCTTATATATCTCCTCTTTATATATCTTTTTATATATCTCCTTTTTCTAAGAAAAGGTCTGACAATATGGCACAAATAATCATATTGGACAGGTGTCATTCGTGTCATACTAAAAAATTCTTCATGATCTGTCTCATATGCCTCTTTGAATTGTTTATTGAAATATCCTAAATAATCTCTGCTTCTATTTATAGGTCTTATCCACTATCTTCTTTGTCTTTTTAGTTTTAGATATAAATATAGCGATATTAAATTCAAATGGTAAGCATTTAATAACAAAGAAATACTACAAATTGCACGGAATTCCATTATATTTCTATTTCAATAACACACATAAACACAATCGATCATTCGTATTATTGTACGGGCAATATCCTGCTCTCTGATTGGTTTACACTCCGATCCAGCGACTAATTGAACTTTGTACAAGCATCGCCATAGGACCCAGCTCACGACTTTACGACTTTACGACTTCACGAATTTATGACCCCATTGTAGACGTAGCATAATGGAGAATTCAATTCTCGACGTAATGTGAATCCTCCATTATACTCCACTTTCTGTACTTTGCATAATAACGTATCACATATGTTTCGAGAGAAACGGATGGTATTATCCATTCGTTGTATTGCGAATGATAATTTGCGTATACGTTTCACTTGCGACTGTCAAGAATACGCTTCTAGGGATTTTCCATTGCGATTAGTCGAAACCTGCCTTACTTACATATACGCAAGTAGTTCAAGAATAGGGCCCATGGTCTGTTCTTTGTAGCTGCATTGTTGAACTGGTGCAATAAGTTAAAGTGGGACAATATAGGGGTTTTCTCACTCTAACTTATTGCACCTGTTCAGCAGTGCAGCTACAAAGAACAGGGTACCTATCATGGAACTCGTCGGAATCGATTCCGATCGGAATAATTCCGTTTCCCCTAGAAAAGACAATAGAAATTTAGGAAATAACGGAATAAATTCTATCGGAATTGATTCCGACGAGTTTCATAATAAGTACCGAGACCATATGTAACTACCGTAGTTAGTGCAGTCTCGAATCCGATTAGAGTATATTTTTAGATCTAAAAGAATATACCAATCGAATCAAAGAATTCAATAACTACGGTTGTTACTAATCCGGATTAACCTTGCCGTGTAAACGTAGTTAATGACATGCTAAATTACACTGTGGTACGGTCGCGAGCATAAAGATTTGTCACCGTTTTTTTGCAACTTTCGGAACGCATCCCGACTCGAGAAGAATGAGAGTCACTGCTCCGCCTGTGGAGCACGCCTGCGCAGTGACTCACGACGAAAGGTGAGAAATGAAATATACGCGGTGGGACATATTATAATAATACAGACTCAGATAAAATGAATACTCCAGTATTAAATGGAAATGAGGGAACACGGAACAGACAAGAATCATCCGATGTAAGTCTTATACACCGGAGGACATCCGAAAAAGGTAAAACACGAACTTAATTAAGAGAATTAAGCTGCATTACGATAGTTACGATTCTGTTATACATTTATATATGATTTATTGTTCCAGCAACAGCCATCTTCTATAGCAGAAGCAATGATATTAGATACAGAAGCAGCTGTTATAGCGAATTTTGAATTTTTGGGACATACAGACATGGACATGGAAGAGGAAGAAGGAGATGGAGACAATGAAATTTATGATGCAAATACAGATACCAACATATATGTTAACAAATAGCGTAAACAATATCATTAAAACGCAAGATGATAGTAAGCGTTATTTGGTTTGGTATCTGTATTTGCATCATAAATTTCATCGTCTCCATCTCCTTCTTCCTCTTCCATGTCCATGTCTGTATGTCCCAAAAATTCAAAATTCGCTATAACAGCTGCTTCTGTATCTAATATCATTGCTTCTGCTATAGAAGATGGCTGTTGCTGGAACAATAAATCATATATAAATGTATAACAGAATCGTAACTATCGTAATGCAGCTTAATTCTCTTAATTAAGTTCGTGTTTTACCTTTTTCGGATGTCCTCCGGTGTATAAGACTTACATCGGATGATTCTTGTCTGTTCCGTGTTCCCTCATTTCCATTTAATACTGGAGTATTCATTTTATCTGAGTCTGTATTATTATAATATGTCCCACCGCGTATATTTCATTTCTCACCTTTCGTCGTGAGTCACTGCGCAGGCGTGCTCCACAGGTGGAGCAGTGACTCTCATTCTTCTCGAGTCGGGATGCGTTCCGAAAGTTGCAAAAAAACGGTGACAAACCTTTATACTCGCGACCGTACCACAGTGTAAAGCCAACGGCACACGGTGCTTGTTTTCATGCTGGATTGCTTGATGGATGAAAATACTGCATTCTGATTGATGCATTTCCATCCATCTTTGAAAATGTACCAATCAGAACGCAGTATTTTCATCCAGCAAGCAATTCAGCACGCAAACAAGCATCGTGTGTCGCTGGCTTTATTGCACTAGTTCAGCAGTGTAGCTATAAAGAACAAACCCTATGTCACTCACTGAGCACTTTGTTTTCTGAACATAGCCAATCAATGGCTGCGTTCAGACAACACAACGGTTATACAACGGTTGAGTAATTCGTCAACGTTATTGGTCTGAATGTAAGGATCTAACAGTAAGGACCAATAGTTACTAAGCGCTCAGTGAGCGCTTTGTTTTCTAAACGCAACCAATGGCCGCGTTCAGTAGAACAAAGTGATCAGAGAGCGCTTAGTGATTATTGTCTGTGATTGGAGCATTCTTTTAGATTCTTCATAGACCCAGAAGTATTGACCAATCAGGAGCGAGATTCAATGGAAAATCTAGTAATGTTGTCCAACTGTTGAGTCTGCTGAATGCAGCCATTGAATGCACCCATTCACTGCTAGCACTGAAAATCTATAATATACCTGACACAACTTATATATTTTCAGTACTGGCAGTGAATTTTGGAACACAGTCCTCGTGTCGTTGAGCGCGAAAAACGTGTTCTCCTACTGAAATAGTACCGAGTCAATAATAATTACAAATATATACATATATTATGGCAAATGTTATTGAAGATTTGTTTGATGTTTTCGACGAGCAGGGTGACGAGTCGGAAATCATTCCACTACCCGTGAAATCAGATCTTTCGTTGACGTAAGTACGCGGTATTTCAATATAACCTAATTCAATATAACCTAATTCAATATAACCCAATTGTGATAATATCTTTCAAGGTTCGATTATTTATTTGAAGTTAATTTGCAGAAAAAGTGAATCAGATGGAGCTATAAAGCGTCAACATGACAAAGACGATGACAACGTATTGGTTAAGAAAATACGACACGATCCAGTCTTAGATGAGATCAAGTAAGATTTTATTTTTTTTTTAATAATTATTGTATTTTAACAATTTGTAGATGTTGCATATGATACATTGGAACATATAGTTTGTGTGAATTTTCATCCTGAATATCTGCAGACATCATTTGCATTTGGTTATATTTTATCATTTAATTAATATAACTCATTTGTTTTAACAAGTTTTATACCGTGTAGTGGCTATCAGTGGTACAAACAAGAAGTCAGTTTGACATAGAACATGTAAAAAATATAATACAAGTACTTTTACTTATCACAATAGTCAAACAATTATGTAGCATGTTATATTTTCAGTCTAGAAGAAATAGCATGTCGTATAAAAATACATACCATAGAGTCTATAGAATCTTGCACACACGAGGTTGCTGTGCCTTATGAACAGGAACTTGTGCCTTTGGAACGTAAGGAGAGCAAGCCAGCAAAGGAATACAAATTTATACTGGATCCATTCCAAAAGGAAGCAATTTTATGCATTGAAAACAATCAATCTGTTCTTGTTTCAGCACACACATCAGCTGGCAAAACTGTTGTGGCCGAGTGAGTACATATCGTACGTTGCTTTTAGAAAATACTCTTGGATAAACTTTTTCTAGCAGTGTCTATTTCATCATCATGCATCTCATAGATATTCGATAGCGTGCTCACTTAGAGAAAAACAAAGAGTAATATATACCACACCAATCAAGGCACTGAGTAATCAAAAGTACAGAGAATTTTATGAAGAATTTAAGGATGTTGGATTAGTAACAGGTGATGTTACTATAAATCCTACAGCCAGTGTATTGATTATGACTACTGAAATTCTACGTAATATGCTTTACAGAGGCTCGGAGGTATGTTAGTACGTTGGTATTATTGTAAGCTACTGAAGCAAAATATATTAAAATAAATTGAATGTTTTATTAATAACATTCTCTGGTTATACTTTAGACCTAGTTAGCGTAGGTTCTTTTATTAAGCATATACAAATGACACAGGTGATGCGAGAAGTTGGTTGGGTAATCTTTGACGAAATTCATTATATGCGTGACAAAGAAAGAGGCGTAGTATGGGAAGAAACACTTATATTATTGCCGGATAATGTGCACTATGTATTTCTTTCTGCTACCATACCTAATGCACGGCAATTCGCGGAATGGGTAGCGCACTTGCACAAACAGCCCTGCCACGTGGTATATACAGACTATAGGCCTACGCCGTTACAGCATTACATATTTCCAGTTGGCGGTGATGGGATTCACCTGGTGAGTTTACCTTGTACTATTCATGAAACGTTTAAGGGTGATGAGAAGACACTTACGAGCTTATTTATCTGACAAAAGACACAACTACATGCATGTACGCTAAACATATTTGTTATAAAAAGAAAAAAAAAAAACAGGTCGTGGACGAAATGGGTCATTTTAAAGAAGAGAATTTCAACAGAGCTATGGCATGCTTGCAAAACATGGGCGACGCAGCTAAAGGCGATACAAAAGGACGCAAAGGTGGCCTACGCCCTTCGAACAGCGGACAGACGAATATCTTCAAGATGGTAAAAATGATCATGGAAAGGAATTTTGCACCCGTAATAATATTCAGTTTCTCAAAGAAAGACTGCGAGGTTTATGCCATGCAAATGTCTAAATTAGACTTTAATACATTGGAGGAGAAGAAATTGGTGGATGAGGTTTTCAATAATGCTATAGATGTTCTCAACGATGAGGATAAGAAATTACCGCAAGTGGAAAATGTGTTGCCGCTTCTGCGACGCGGAATAGGAATCCATCATGGTGGTCTTTTGCCGATCTTGAAAGAAACTGTAGAGATATTATTTGGCGAAGGTCTGATTAAAGCTCTCTTTGCTACCGAAACGTTTGCCATGGGTTTGAACATGCCTGCGCGAACAGTTTTGTTCACGGCGCCCCGTAAATTTGACGGCAAAGATTTTCGTTGGATCACGTCAGGCGAATATATACAAATGGCTGGTCGTGCCGGTAGGAGAGGCTTAGACGAAAAGGGGATTGTGATATTGATGATAGATGAGCAAGTTAGCCCAGTTGTTGGCAAAGCTATCGTTCAAGGAAAGCCAGATCCAATTAATTCCGCGTTTCACTTGACTTACAATATGGTTCTCAATCTCTTACGAGTCGAAGAGATCAACCCAGAATATATGTTGGAGAGAAGTTTTTTTCAATTTCAGAATCAGTCTTCTATTCCGGTTTTGTATAACAGTAAGTCGCTTACACACGACAATTGATACTTGTTAATACTTTCAATTGTAGCACTGTGCATGTTCGCTTTGATCATGTTTTTAGGGGTGAAGGAACTGTACGCCGCTTACAATATAGTAAATGTTGAGAAATACGAGGAGATATCTTCATATCACGATATACGGGAACGACTAAACCGACTGAGCGGCGAGTTTCAATCCTTTCTGACACAGCCAGAATATTTGCTGCCATTTTTGCAACCTGGGAGACTAGTACAAGTACAGTTTTACAATCAGAGTTTTACAAAATCGAATATGCACACCTCGACCATGTCACATGAAACTTTTGAAAAGTCATTGTTTGTTATACGTATCGCAGGTGAAAAATGAGATTGGAACATTCGATTGGGGCATTGTGGTGAACTTTAAGAAAAAAAATCCAAAAAATCCGGTAAAAGACAAGACTGTTATCATCATCGACATCTTACTTCATATATCGAAAAAATCTAAAGAGGGCAATCCAATTCCATGTCGCGACGGTGAAGAAGGCGATGTGGAAGTGGTCCCGATTTTGCATAATTTAATTTCCCAAATAAGTGCACTCAGACTAAAATGTCCGAAAGACCTCAGGCCACTCGATACCCGGAAAAATGTACTGAAAACAATACAAGAAGCGAAAAAAAGATACCCAGAGGGATTACCGTTGCTTAATCCTATCGAAGATATGAATATACAAGATGAATCTTTTAAAGATATCGTAAAGAAAATCGAATTGCTAGAAGAAAAACTGTATGCTCATACTTTGCACAAAGTACGTGACAGACAAACTATATGATCCGATACGTAATCTCAGCCATGAAGTATAGAAAATGTACTTATTACAGTATTTACTCGTTAACGGTGCAAATAAATTTACGTGATAACACTTTGGCATCGTTTTTCGCGAAATGTCATATTTGTTTCACTGTTGTATTTTCAGTGTCTCGATTTAGATGAAAAAAGATCAACGACGGAAATCCTTGATATTTTAAACGATTTCACTATTATTTACAGGATCCTAATATAAATAAAATATACGAGCAATTCTTGCACAAGGAAGAACTAGCCGCGAATCTTAAGCGAGCTAAACAGGAATTGAAAGAGGCAAAGTCGATACTACAGATGGACGAGCTCAAGTGTAGGAAGCGAGTTTTAAAGAGGATGGCGTATTGCACGGCGGCGGACGTTATAGAATTAAAAGGACGTGTAGCTTGCGAACTAAACGGGGCCGACGAATTATTATTAACAGAAATGCTCTTCAATGGTCTCTTCAACGTTTTAAGTGTACCACAGATGGTAGCGTTGATTAGTTGTTTCGTATGTGACGAAAAATCGACCGAGATGCCCAAAAGCACGGAGGAATTGAGAGGTCCGCTCAGGCAAATGCAAGATTTGGCTCGAAGAATAGCGAAGGTTTCGACAGAAGTCAATTTGGAGTTGGACGAAGACGCGTACGTTGAAAAATTTAAGCCATATTTGATGGACGTAATGTACGCTTGGTGCAAAGGTGCGTCGTTTTTACAAATCTGCAAAATGACCGATATATTTGAAGGTATGATATATTTAGTATATATTTCACATGACGGAAATAATAACGGAAATCCATATAAAACTATATCCTTGAGAATTGCTTGACAAAAAAGTGTCAAAATCTTCTCCTAGTGTTTTTATGAATTACGAATTTTATGAATTTGGAACCGCTAGAGCTATAAAGTATAATTCTAAAATATATAATTCGTATATACGCATTCAAATAATTCTCCAGCGTTCGTTGCATGTTTTACACACACACACACACACACACACACACATATTTATTTATTTATTTCAGGATCTATCATCAGATGTATGCGTCGTTTAGAAGAGGTATTACGGCAACTATGCCAAGCTGCGAAAGGCATTGGAAATGTAGAACTAGAGAACAAATTTAGCGAGGCGATCAAACTTATTAAGCGAGATATTGTATTTGCTGCTTCTTTGTATTTATGATGTGTATAAAAGGTACTAATAATGTTGCGAAACCTATTTATATATATTCATTTTATGACGACGTTTTCTTTAACTGCATCGTAACTTTCGTTGTTGTGTCGTTCATCCTTTGAGTGGTGGTATTCGTTTAGATATACCCCTACGGTATGAAGAATTCAATTGCGAACAAAAAAAAAAGATAATCAATGTCGATTAGTCGCTGAGACTCTGATTCCAGTTGCGCGAGTGCACATGTAGTACATACGAAGTCGAGAGAGAGAGAGAGAGAGAGAGAGAGAGAGAGAGAGGGTGGGAGGGAGGGAGGGAGGGAGGGAGAGAGAGAGAGAGAGATGGGGGGGGGGGACAGAGAGGCGGTACACCTTGCTCTCCGCTGACATATTATCCGATGGTACTGGTTGTTGTATGTGGAGACAGCCCGGAGTCGTCGATCCTAAACAGTCCATTATCTTGTACAAATTGCGCGTCGCAACATCTCAATAAATTTTGTATCGTAATTTTTCTCAGCATCCAATTTATTTCTGGAAATTTAAAGTGTATAATATACGTACGTGTGAAAAGAGCTGTCTCCTTTTCCTCTCTTTTATAAAATAAAATTACATTCGACATACGATTTAATTGTATGGAATAAGTTTAGCGTAAAAATCTAATTGTAAGATAAACAACTCAATATAATTGCTGACTATCTTGAGATTGTTAAATAAATACAGTTGTAGAGTAACGCGATACTTAATTTCTACATTTGAATTTAATTACATAACATATTCTTTATCGTTCCTCTAGAATTACTGTTTCTTGCGGACAGAACTTGAGTTCCATTAGGGTAAGCTTCGAGTCCATGGATGTTAACTGTAATGAAAATATAACATACGTCTGACATATTGGCGAGTCGCTAAAATACTTTCAAGCGACATATTTTTCCACAAGATCCTTTTCCTTAAGAGAAAACTCTCTCTTTTCAATTTAATCGTGGAGAAAACGACTGACATGTGTGAAGAATCGTACAAATAAATATCTATGTGATAAGAACTCAAATGCTTACATCATCTACTTACATCCCTTCGAGGCCAACTAGACAAGAGTTTATATTCCTCTGTTGGATAACCCTCCACAATTAGGAAATTAAGAAGCGTCTGTAGCGGTGTGTCTGACTGAAATTTACGTTCCAGGAATTTTCCAGCTGGCAAGCGTACTTTTACTTTCATCACGCCGTCACCCGCTTCTTGTTGCGGCTCGGGTGGTAAGCTGGATTCTACAGCTTGTCTATGAGCCTCTTTTCTCGCTTTCTCAGCTAGCCTCTCGTTTTCGGCTTGTTCTTTCATTTTTTTCTCAAGTTGTTCTTGCATTTGCTTCGCTTCCTCTTTCGCTCTAAAAATATAATCAAGAACATAATGTTTATTCTGTCCAACATAAATTATCTACGCGCAAATACAAGCACTGCATATTCAACAGATCAAACGAATGTTTCCAGTTACCTGTCGGCTGCCAAGCTTTCTTGATACGCTCTATCTTGTTCCTGTTTGACTCTTTCTCTAGCTTGACGTTCTTCTTCAACGCCAATATCAGCCCGTCTTTGTTCCTATTTTAAGAATGAATACTGTATGTAGTACAATTTATATTTATATTTGTGTGATTACGCGCGCGCGCGCGTGCGTGCATGCGTGCGTGCGTGCGTGCGTTATGTATATAACGCACGCACGCACGGCACAGTTATGTATATATTACATATTAGGATACTTGGTATTCCAAAACCATTGGACGTTTCATTTATTGTACTTAATCTTTATCAACCAATTTTGAGACAATTCTTCCTTAAAAAAATATCAAGCTAAATCATCATCGTTCATCGTTCATCAAGTTATCTATTTATTATAATATCATATCTTTGTATCTTGTAGCTTTCCGTTAAAATTTTATCAAAATATTTTTCAACAATATAAAAAATGTACGCACCTGGAATACATCAACAGCCTGCACCAAGTTTGTCAGTAACTCGTTAACTCCCACATTGCCATGTACAATTGTAAATATTTCTGTGTTAGATCTAGATCTCATGATGATCATGAGAGCTGGCAAAGTATCAACGTCTATGCTTGTCACAGCCAATGAACCAACAGTACCAAGAGTTTGAGTCACAGAATAGAGAAATCTAAGAATCGCAGACGAATGTTTAATGTAAAATAAACTTCGCTCGACGTCATATGTTTTCGTAGACTGTACCTTTCTTTGTTAGATTCAAATGTGATATCCCAACCCCACACTATAAAATTCGCTGAAAGAAGTTGGAGCACCGTTTCGAAGCCTAACAGTTGAGTACAAAAAACATTTGCTAATACGCTGTTATCGTGGTGCAAATATACAGCCAATAATTTTCTCTGTAACAATATAAGAAATAAAGAACTGGTATAATTCCGACACCTTAAATCTTCGTTATATAGTTATGTAGCGCTAAGATTCAAGACAGACCTCTTTCGCCGGTTTCAGACACGATTCCTTCAGTGCATCCTCGAATGTACCGGCAAAGAATTCCGGATGCGCCGGTCCGTATCGTTTCTCGAATTGTTCCGCAAAATGTAACGTACCCATCATCTCATCCATAACATTTTCTGGCACTGTTTACGGACGAAAAGAGGATGTATTTAATTTTCATTAATATCAATGTTACGCGCATATTGTTATTTTGGTAAAATAGTAATTATTTTTATCTTAATACACTCACTGAGACGCTCTACTTTAGTGGATTTAACATCGTCTATGAAGATGTCATCCTCGACATTAAACGATTCGGTAATATCTTCCAATTCCTCCACGTCTTCAGGTTCATCGATGGAACTGTCGCTGTCGACTAGATTTACAACTTTCTGAAATAATACAAACGGTATATTATGAGGAAATATAAGGAATTGCGGAAATTAAATTCCGCCGAGACATTACCTTCTTTTCTTCCTTAGCTGGGAGCTTTCCGACAGACAAATCATGTTCCGGATAACAGATTCCACTTTGCGCCAATACTACAGTATCATCTTTTAGCGTGCTAGGCCAACCTTTCCACTGTTGATTTCGTACAGGCACGTCTATTAACGAGTAGACGTCTGTCTTTACTTCTAACACAGTATGTGTGCCAGGAAACTTCAGCTTGTACGTTTTATTATGTACTTCATCCTTTACATTCAATGTGTAAGTCTGAGTCATACGACCCGATAAGCTCACGCTAAAATAACAAACATTGATTATTTCATGAGTAATGATCACGGAATTGCGTTAGCAAAATTTTAAATAACTTACGTCTCACGAGCTAGATCGCAATCCTGCGGTAACGATGACATATACAATATGTTTTCTCTAGGCAGATCTAATGTTCCCAATGACGTATTTTGTGTTCGTGGTTCCTTCATCCAACCGCGAAGATGCTGTTGACAGGGTGCTACACTTGTTTGTTGCCATATAAGCTGCTTAAGGTCCTCTTAAACATACATTTTCACATTTATAGCTAAACTTATCAACCAAGTTTTATTTGTTTTTGTTGATCTTTGCTGATCTCCCAATGTCTATGTATAATCTGTATACAATACAATGTCTCTCTTACCCAAAGTAGACGACTCGGGCATATTTATCTTATAAACACTATTATGGTAGTAAATGTGGAATGTGAGTGTCCCGTTCCTCATACAACTGTTAGGTCTACTCGTCCCAGGTTTCGCACTTTCTATTATGTCTGCTTTTATTGTTCCCATTTTTCTCGAAGTTTGAGATGTTTGTAATATGGATGAAGATGAACGTGGCGTCGTTTTAACTTCCTCTAACATTTCTATATCTGGGCCGATTTCAGAAGGTAGTTGTTGAGTATCCTGTGGCATGGCTTTGTTCACCGCAGCCTAAGTACAAAACATATATATATATGTGTACATACGATACATACATTCATGCAGCACACACACACACACACACACACACACACACACACACACACACACACACACACACACACACACACACACATATCGTTACATTTGTATTAATTGCTACTTCTTGTACAACATAACTATATACTTATACTTACTAATAAATCCCAATTTGTTTGCTCCAAATATACAATAGCATCTCCAATATCATCGATTCCAGTGCAGGCCTACAAATGGTACGAATTTTATATTTGAGATATTTTTATAATTTAGGGTGACATTTATATTTGAAAACAAAAAACAACAGAAATAGAACACAAGTGAGGATGTAGTAGTTTGATTGTACAAGGACAATTTCTACAAAAATACATAATTGATTTCAAGAGCAGTTTAAATTTCAAAATAAACGGTATATGTAAAATGACCTAACAAAGAAATAAACGGACGTTTCAGCGAATTTCGTTAAATTAATAATACGAATGCATGCAGCTTGTTTTATCGTCTACACTCTCTACATTTGCGCAAGAAAGAAATAGATTTAGCTAAATTCTGTTTCGAATGTCTACAATTATTGTCAATGTCATCTGTACGTAATTTCCCTAACCTAACAATGCATTTACGTTGTGCAACAAATAATGTGCGTGCAATCACTAGATTACCTGAAAGTCAGCCAATATCGCGTCCCGATTTTCAGCCATCGTGATAAAATTCTGATTGCGAATTACGGGGCGTATGAATTCCGTGACGTTCGAAGCACTTCTTTATTATATTACAACTTTTACACAAGTAACATGAACAACAACTGCAAGCCATTGACGTCCTGAGGCAGGTCTACCTAAGCCGTTTATAGTGACGTCAGATTATCTGAAACATTTGTTCAAGATATGAATTCAAACTTCCCTATGACTTAAGCCCGGTCCAGAATAGGTTGCAAACACTCGGTTGCGAGTTTGCGAAAGATGGCAACTACTGGTTACAAAACGCTATTTTCAGTTGTAAGAGATAGTTGCGGTTGCTAAAAGAGAGTTGCTCAACTTTTAAGACCGGTCCAGAATAGATTGCAAACATCCAGTTGCGAATTGCGAAGAGTAACAACTACTAGTTACAAAGTGTTATTTTCGGTCGTAAGACAGTTGTGGTTGTTAAAAGAAAGTTTCCCAACTTTTAACTTCTTGGCGACGGCAACCGGCAATCGCAACTGTTTCTTACAACCGAAAATAGCACTTTGTAGCTAATAGTTGCCATCCTTCGCAACTCGCAATTGGGTGTTTGCAATTTATTCTGAACCGGGCTTACGACTTCTGGACCCTGATTCTCGAAAATTTGTGAAAAATATCATATACGATATTTCATCAATGGGGCGATTTAACTGGTTGAAAACTGTGATGTCTAGTAATATTCGTGAAACATCGTATGCGAAATTTTTCAAGAATACGGGCTCAGTGATGCGATTCTTTAAGGCCCAGTTCTACAACTTGCTTTAAACGGAGTTTAAAGCTAAATCGATGGTTAAAAGCAATAGTATATGCGCATATACTGTTGCTTTTAACCATCGGTTTAGCTTTAAACTCCGTTTAAAGCAAGTTGTGGAACTGTGCCTAATTCGTTATTGGAGTTAAGCCAGCGGCACACGGTGCTTGTTTTCGTGCTGGATTGCTTGCTGGATGAAAATACTGCGTTCTGATTGGTGCATTTTCATCCATCTTCGAAAATATACCAATCACAACGCAGTATTTTCATCCAGCAAGCAATCCAGCACGAAAACAAGCACCGTGTGCCGCTGGCTTTAACGACAGCTTTCCTACGATGGCTGCGTTCCGATATATAAAAGCTGTGCATCGTTAAGGTCATTCTACAATACGTGTCGTAAGTTGTAAGCCGTAAGAACTGACCAATTATAGCCGATTATTTTTGTAATAATCGACTATGATTCGTCAATTCTTACGGCTTACAACTTACGACACGTATTGTAGAATGATCTTAAGGCTCGTCTACAATAGCTGTAAGAGTAAGGCTGTAAAGGCTGTAACGTAAGCTGTCAGCGAATGAAAATATTTCATTTCGTGTCTTGCAACCTTACAGCCTTACTCTTAAGGCTCGTCTACAATAGCTGTAAGAGTAAGGCTGTAAGGCTGTAATGTAAGCTGTCAGCGAATGAAAATATTTTATTTCGTGTCTTGCAACCTTACAGCCTTATTCTTACAGCTAATGTAAGAATAAGCGAGTTGTAAGCGAGCCTTTACAACTAATGTAGACGAGCCTTCAAAGGCCCATCTACAATAGCTGCAAGAATAAGGTTCTAAGCGTAAAGGCCTATCCAGGCAAACTTGCATAAGCGCGTAACACATATGCATAAGGAAATTGACCAATTATGATCCGTGTAGTAAAAAAATATTTTTTGTATTAAACATACGATTAGTCAATTTCCTTATGCATATGCGTTACGCGCTTATGCAAGTTTGTCTGGATAGGCCTTAAGGGCAAGAGCATAGGCTTTTGCATAACACATAATACATAACGCATAAGAGAATGAACCAATTAGTTTTCTTCATTTCCCTCCTCAGGACAGAAATGAAGAACTCTGATTGGTTGATTCTCTTATGCGTTGTGTATTATGCGTTATGCAGAAGTCTGTGCTCTGGCCCATACTCTTACAGCTATTGTAGACGAGCCTTTAGAAAAGTGTAAACTTCCCGCTTAAGGCCTGACTATTGGTCTGTTTTTTTCTTCTGCACCGCTGCACTAGTGCAATAAGTTAAAATGAGACATATATATATATATTTGTCTCACTCGAACTTATCGCACTAGTGCAGCGATGCAGAGGAAAAGAACAGACCTTATGAATACGGGTGTATATTTTTTTCTCACCCCAACTTATGGCACCGTAGAAAAGCTGCGTAACGATAACGAAAGTGTCGTTAACTCCATTAACGAGTTACAGAATCGCACTACAGTGCAGCTAAAAAGAGCAGTATTATCTTTATCATTTATTAGTTGTTCTTTTTAGCTGCACTACTGAACTGGTGCAATAAGTTAGTGAGAAAAAATATAGTTGTCTCATTCTAACTTATTGCACTAGTTCCGCAGTGCAGCTGAAAAGAACAGACCACATATTACATATATAACAAAGATAGAAGGTCCTAATGGCGTTGATGTTTCGCTTCCCGAACGTAGCCATGATCGATCGTAAGCGTAATTTACAAACAGTTTCGTCAAACGCCTTTGTATAGTTGATTTTTCGGAAGTTATATCTGGAGCGTTTCAGCGATACTCTGTTATCACGCATTACTGTGTTGCGATTCATCGGGTCATTATCGTGAACATATGTAATAAAACCTAGAGACAAATAACCTTAAAAAATGGAAGAGACGTGTTTGGACGACGGACTTGCGGCAAATTTTGAAAAAGCCACATTGGAAATCTCCAAAGATATTGATAGTAAGTTCTATAGACTTTAATCAATCAAACAATAAAGTGATTGAAGAATTATTGTGCTATTTAAGTAAAGTTTAAATTCGAGAAGGTAATATGCATTTTGAAAATTAAATTTAGTTACCTACTGTGTTGAGCATTTGTTCACTACAACACATTTTTAATTTCAGCTGCCAAGTTGACAACAGAAGGCAATGACGACACCCTGAAACAAGATTCAGCTTCGAAAAATGTGTGTAATGCGCCTTTCAGGCACATAGATGTTCATACATTCTTCGCTGATAGGAATGAAGTTGTAGAAAGGGCCATACATGACTGCACTGAAAAACTCATCAAGGAAAACAATGAGGAGCTTGTAGGAAGCTGGCTTCTGACAGAGTGTGCATTGACAATATATATTATCAACTTTTGATAACTATTGTTACAATTTTGAATTCAAATTAGGGAAAAATTTATTCACAGAATAAGTTTATGGGATACAGAAAAGGAGAGACTTGTGTTACTAGCAACCAAAACTCTTTACTCTGTAAAGTATGACTTTATTTCTCTAAAAATACTTAATTATAATCGTGTGCCCATACTGCTGCTGGATACAGTAGTGATAGGGGAGTTGATTTATCCATCTACATCTCTTGCACCGTGAGTATTAATAATAATATGAATAGTTTGCAAATAAAATACTTCATGTACAACTTAAATATTATACTATTTTATAGTTCTCTTTTGTTCCGGATTTATTTAATATGCATTAAAGATTAACAAATTTATATTGAAATATGCAAATATATGAAGATATATTTTTTAAATAGAATAAGAATTATACAACATATATATATGTTCTTATTTATATGTCAAATACTTAAGTAAAATCATGTTTATACACATATATATATATGTGTGTGTGTGTGTGTGTGTGTGTGTGTGTGTGTGTGTGTGTGCGTGTGTGTGTGTGGGCGCACGCGCACATGCATATAACATATTTACATTCATGTTGCATTTTATTCATATTGATGTAGTATCTTTTATAGACGATTAAGTGGATTAGCAGAGGGTGTGTCGTCCATAATTCAATGTGCAGTGCGCCAAGAGTGGTCATCTGTTGCAGGTTGTTCTGGTCTTAATCAATTTGAGCCTAGGTATATATTGCTTTGCTATCTGCAATTATTTATCATCTTTATTTGTTAATTTGCTTAGAATGTATGTCTCTATTGTTTTATTGTTATGTTGTACAACATTTTTAAGTAAATGCTTGTTTTATAATATACTTTATATGTTAGAGATAATTTTCCTATAACACATGTCATATTCCAAAAATTTTGTGCAATGATTCTTACACAAACATCAAAACTGTGAAAATCAACTGTGAAAACATCAAAAATGTGAAGGAATATCAAGATTTATTTTGCAAGTTATGCAGTTACATAAAATTAGATTATTTCATGTCTTTATATCAGAGAGAGAGAGAAAGAGAGAGAGAGAGAGAGAGAGAGAGAGAGAGAGAGAGAGAGAGAGAGAGAGAGAGAGAGAGAGAGAGAGAGAGAGAGAGAGAGACTGAGACAGGCAGAAGAAGAAGGGTGAGAGGGAATGTGCACGCGCGCGCGCGCGCGCGTGCGTTGAAACAGGATTTGAATTTTTCAGAAAACGACATATGGTGGGAATGAGACTTATGTGGAATAGAGGGCAGCCCTTACCTCTAATAAAAAAGTGGAATCCATTTGCAAAAGATATACCTTGGCTTACGTATGCTAATCATCCGTTGTTCTGGTTTAAAGGTAGATGTTGATTTATGTATTAAATATGATGAAGGGTTTGTTTTCGAAGGACTTCTGAATTAGTGCCGTAATTGAGGTGAAAAAAAATTTTTTTCTTTCATTCTAAATTATTGCACTAGTGTGCACTAATTTAAAAATTTTTCGAAAAAGAACAGATCCAAAGTTATAAGAAAAATACTTTCAATGAGATAATAGATTTGCTAATAAAACTTGTCAATAATGAAATAATATTCTTTTAGCAGGGACTGAAGTTGTCAAGACAAGATTTGATGTAGAGGTTTTTCATTCCATGCTTAAAAATTTACTACCGCACGAATGCAATGTCGTTAATACGCCAATTATAATAGAAAATTACTGCGGAATTGGTGCCTTAGTGCACAATAGGAATGGCTTAGGTTTCTTTAAGATACGAGGCAAAGTCAGTTTCTAAGTTCCTTGATCTTGTAGAATTGCAAACGCTACAAGGTATCTTTCTGAACTTAATGTTTTTCCTTGCTTCTTTTAGGATTTTTCTTATTAGAATACACTTGTAATCTTGTACAGTATTTACAAAAGAATAGTAATTACTCTTGCGATACAAAATTACTTCTATATATAATTATATATTAAAATAAAGTCTGTATGTATACGCAATACTGTTAGGGTCGCTTGATCAAGGATCAATTATTTCCGTAAAATACAGATATTTTTCAATACGAAGCCCATATTTTAACAATAATATTTTTATTTTATTATATATTTCCTGTATATCATATTTATATTTACTATATAAATCATATAGTTATATTTAAAGTTGTATGCTAAATTTTTTATGATGATTGCTGAGAATACGAAAGTTCATGTTAAAATACTAAAGTTTTTATGTATTAAAAAATCACTTGGTACCCATATTATCGTGCAAAGATTATAAGAAGAAAATATCTATCGTGTGATCTCTTGTACTATAAAGGTCGTGTACTTTACACACACACACACGCACACACACAAGTACACAATACAATGCTTTATTTCTGAGCTCATAACAGATATATTTAATCTTTATAAACTTCAGTGGCATTGACAATAATGCATTTTAGTATGAAAAAACAGGACAAATATTTTTGACGAACTTAAATAAGGACCTTGTATCAAATCACAGTAGAAAATAATTTCTTATTATCAGTTTATTATATTATATTATACTGTGTATATACTGTAGAATCTAACATCATTTAGAATTCTGAAGAAAGTTATGGTTCATTCGTGAATTTGTTTCACGTACCACCAGTTGATCTATATTTATATGAATGTCTATTAATTTTATAGGTTATGTATGAGCCAACAGATGGCTCGTGTGTTTATGCTACCTGTTGATTTAACACAGCCGCGAATAACGGTACACTGTGTATTATGTTAGTAATTTGATCAATTTTTACTTTGCTCGATCATTTCTCTTATGGAACTAATAACAAGCATCGGACAAGTCGTTGATTGCGGCTTTATAAACTATTATCTCATGGTTTAAAATGTACATGTTTGAAAATATACTATATCCAATTGAATAATATCAATGATTTTGCAATGGCTGCACCCAACACACGTATCACCGAGATACATGTGTTGCAGGTAATATACTAATGATGAACATTTTAACGATATTGGAATAATAAATAGTGACAAATGATAAATTATACGTTGAACATAATGTATCCAATATATATAAGCTAATTTTATAATTTTGTTACATGGTATTTTGCAGTTTGATTTTGAGGAGAATTAATATTGTGAACAACATGGAAAATAATTAAGATTCAACAATTCAAGGCATATTATACACGTGGAAAAGTTTTAATTTAATGAAATAAGTGAGCTTAACTAAGGTCAGATACCATGATTAAACGTAAGAATAGAGCAGAATAGCTCTTGCGTTATAGTTAATTGTTGCCTTTGCATTCTCACAGTCAAATAATTATATATCTATCTAGTTTTACAGTAATACAATGTGTCTTCGTCGCTTGAAAAAAAGATCTGTATTTTTTATTGGTTTTGGGATTGGCTTTATTTTCCCATTATTGTTGCTCTTATTGAGAAGAATATTTATGATTCATCTGACACAACATGATAAAAAATTGTGGCAGCCTGAATATTATTTATGCAAGAAGCCATATCATGAAGAAATTATTTTACAACTTTGGAAGAAGGAGAAGAGGATATTTAGCTATTTTAATATTACATATAACGCTTGGTTGGCAGAAAAAAATTTAAGATCGTACAAAGTTGATCCGGACAAGTATCTATACAGTCCACAAAGAGGAAATGTAAAAGAAATAAATATAGAATGGAAATGGTTGTCGAAACAAGTTTCTATTACATGTGTTGTTTTTATAGAAAAACTTAAATTAGGAAAATCAATTCAAGCCACATGGGGTAAACACTGTAATAATATATATTATTTTGGGCACCATTTGAAGAACACAGAACTGCCTGTTATAAATGCAAGGACAAAGATTGTGTCTTCATGGCAAATGCTGTGTGAAGCTATGAATTATATTTGGAATGACAAAGCAGCGGATAAATTGAAATGGATTATTTTTGTGAAAGACGATACCATGGTAATACCAGAAAATTTGCGTTACATGGTCGCTCCATTAGACTATAGAGATGATTATTATTTGGGTCATCCAGTAATTATGTGGAGTCAGCCTTACAATGTTGCTCAATCTGGATATGTTCTTAGTAGAGGAGCATTGGCTAAAGTAGTAAAAATGTTCAATACTTCGGAAAAATGTGCTGCAAGTGGGAAGTATTGGAAAAAGGAAGATTATTACCTTGGTATGTAATTTTTGATATTACATTTCCTATATAGGTTTGCATTTTATTATCATTAGAATTGTACTTTTTGTAATATTGATTTTTTGCTTACAGGGAAACATTTGCTGTCTTTAGGCATACATCCATCTGATACCAGAGATCAGTACTTAAGAGGTACTTTCCACGGTTATTCTTTGCAAACTCTCTTGTGGGGTGTTAATAGACCAGACAGCTATTGGACACGTGCTGTATATCCTATGAAGGGAGCCTGTTGCTCGCCGGTATCTGTAACTTTCAACGCCGGTGAATCTGATAGGATGCATACATTGTATTATTTATTATATCACTTTCGTATATTTATGGGCAAAGGCAGATTCGGCAATATACCTGCTAAAGCTCCAATACTCGAAACTGACGTGAGCCTTTTATAAGTAGTTCTCAATTAGAAATATATATTATTGCCTTCCCTTAAAATATAACTTTTTTTTTTATTTAAAAAATTAGTGATATTGATTATTTTATTATATTTAATGTATACTCCATATGTATTCATATATTTCAGGTGTGGAAAATTGCACTGAAGGAAGAATTCAACATCACGCATTTGAACGATATTACGAGCGACGCTTATTATGAGATATGGCATTCAAAATATTCCGAACCGGGACAGCTAAGAATTACTAAAGATTATCGAGTCACATTAGATTGCTTACTCGAGAATCATAACGAGAAGAGCAAATCTATCAACGGTTGTCTGACAAAATATGTTATCGGCAATACGAAAGCTTAAATAAATAGACCATCAGAGAAATGCTAGAAAAGTTGACAATATGATTAACGCACAGTTGTTATTACAAAGAATATATAAAGTCAGTATATAACGTATATTTTCGGCTTTTTTGTAACACGTGATTATTTACGCATTAGAATAGAGTTTGCGAAAAAATGTTAACATAAGTATATTAATAAAAATAATATATTGACTAGTATATATATATATATATATATATATATATATGTGTGTGTGTATATCATGTAATTTATTTTGTCTGCTACAAATTAATTTGATCGTGCACTGCGCATTATGTGTGTGTCATTAATAGGAAATGGTTGATAACTACTTCCTTTGTTATTTCAGACGCGCATTATCAAGCTAATTAGAAGCTAATTAACGTCTATAGCGAAAATGATAAGTTAATCTCTCTTTCTCGAAACATTTTCGCATGCCTGTTGTAGTTCATATAATGTTACTTAAATATCGATATAAATATAATTATAAACGTATGACCGCGCACGATAGAAACGTATATGAGTTGTTTTCACAGATACATGCACTATATACAAATAATTTATGCATTATACAAATGTTTAATCCGTTGGCCTACTTTTCATCTTTCTCATTTATCAAGTAGAACCTGAATTTATCACTTATCCGTTTCCTTTTAAAAGCAGATATATAAAAGCAACGTGCTAAGCGCCCTTCTCGTTAAAAGTGTTATTTGGCCAGTAGCAGAAGGTCTTGTTGGAAATACAAATGTGAAGCAACTTTTTAGGCACGTGGACACTCGTAAAATTGTAGCACACTTTTAACATGGTGCTGTTACAGAAACTCGGTTGTTTATTCTTATCGATTATCGTTACGAGCAATATATTATGTGGATATGGATACTCGAAGACACAAGAAATAAAAGAGTTAGTATTTTATACATATTTTTGTTATAATAAATGATCGTAAAGTGAAAATTAAAATAATGCTTCTGTAAAGTCTTATCGCTGTTATATATACATACATATATATGTACACTTTTTTTTATACATTAGAACGGAGGATATGGTAAATGATGCTGCAAACACATCAGCTAACGTTAATTTTTATAACGTTAAGAGTCGCAAAGGTAGTGGAAGACGTGTATTCGCGGGAGGCTGTACTCGTATACCGAATACACCTGTAAATGGTAGAATTGCGTGCTCTACGAACAGGTAACTTGTAGTAAATTAATAACACAGCAAAATCGAAGTCTCGTGTCCAAATTTAAGTAAGAATTTTGTTATATTGAGGAGAGTTATTAGTTTTACCTAACGAAGCTAGATAAGTATACGCCGAATAATTAGGATTTCGAAGAAATGTAAAGGATATAACAATTCTCTGTTCGTATCGTATGGCATCGATAGTGGCTGCATTGCAAGTTGCGCGCCAGACTACAAATTTCCAAATGGAGCACGTCAATTGACGGTTACTTGCATCGATAAAGAATGGCATATTCGAGGGACCGAATGGAGTTCGATACCGCATTGTGAACGTACGTAACAGAAGCATGTTGAATATGTAACTTGCATTTTTGCAAGACTTTGTTCAAGTGAAAGATTTAAGGAGAACGTAATGTTCACATGTGTAGTATCTTACAGCGATTTGCATGCCTGAATGTCAAAATAACGGGATATGCATTGCGCCTCACCAGTGTGACTGTCCTCAGCATTTTGCTGGCCCCCAGTGTCAATTCGAGGATAAACCATGCTTGAATCATCTGCCGCCAGCACTTAATTCTTATAGGAAATGTAGTTCGAAGTAAGTAATACTCGTAAATCTTTTATCTGTATGCCCGTACGAATGCAGTAACTTGCATAACTTTTGTGCAATTTCTTCAAATTTTTCTTTCAGTTTATGCACCATATCTTGCATGAAAAACTTTACCTTTCCCGATGGTTCTTCCGTTGCCAATTTGATCTGTAAGAATGGGAGCTGGAAGCCAACTAGAGACGATTGGGTATCAATTCCAGATTGCGAACGTACGTTTGAGATCATCGATTTATACAATATATACTGTACGAAGCACCATCCGTTTAATATGATTATAAAATATTAATAGCCGTGTGTAATCCACACTGTCAGAACGGTGGAATTTGTTTGCCGATGAATCTATGCCAATGTCCGCAAAATTATCGAGGGGCTCAATGTCAATATTGTAAGTGACAAAACTTCCATTTTTCCATCAAATCGTAATTATGTCTCATTTCTTTAGATAAACAGACTGCTGGTAAACATTAACATTATCAAATAAATCTATATTCACACATAAGCTTCCACGATTTCTTTTTCACAGATATGATTCATATCACGTTTTCTAATATTTATTGATACTTGATATTTTCAATATTTCTAAATAATGTGATTTTCATAGCTGCTGACGCCTGCGAAGCAAAGAACTTACGCTTCAATGGCGGTTACGATTGCACCGACTCCGGCGACAAGTTTTCATGTACGTTGAATTGTCCGACGGAATCGCAGTTCGAATTTTCACCTGCCGTAACATACACTTGCACCTATGACACGGGCATCTTTAAACCGCAGCCGATACCGCAGTGCAAGATGAATTATAACTCGAAGATTGTCTCGCGCGATACTTCTTACAATACATACGAACGAGAAATTAATCACTCCTGGACATCACAAGATTTCTTCAGCGGCACAACAAAAAGTTTGCCAGAGTTTCATAATGTTGATGACAACAGCATGACTTTGAATACGGTAAACGATACATTACGGTTACATATTGATTCGATTTGTTTTGAGTGATCATATTATTCCTTGAACTTTATTTGTTTCGTATGAAGATTTTAAACAACGTTATTTCAATCCGGCCATCAGACGCGCCGCCGCACATTCAACATTATATTATCTATATAGAAAATAACTATAAAGAAAATGTTGCTCTTTTTACTGTCGTTGTTGCTGTTACTGCTGCTGCTGCTGTTGTTGTTGGTATTGTTGTTGTTGTTGTTGTTGTTGTTGTTGTTGTTGTTGTTAGCTACTTCAAGCGATTAGCGAATAACACAACTAACTAACATAACTAATAACATAACTAATTTGCATTTTGTAAAATATTACATATTCGATTTAACATACTGGACGACCGTAAGATGATCGTCAAGGCTAATCCATCCACAAAACCAAAAATATGCTTCACCTGGGGCGGTGCACACTACAAGACCTTTGACGACAAGATCTACAGCTTCGACAGCAACTGCCCGCATGTGTTTTTCCGGGAGACACAGGATGACGTCTGTACGATCTTGACACTGAATACTCCAGGTTGCAAAACAACGAATGGCCGTTGCTTCAAAATTGTGAAGCTGTTCGTAGACGACAAGGAGTACACATTGGCCAACGACGAAACGGGTCTACCGACATTTTCTAGTAAGAAACGGCTGCTACCTATACCGGCGTACTTACCCGGATTACGTGTGGACAAATCTGCACACTTCATCCTCGTTTCCCTCGATTCGCTGGGTATAAAGCTGAAGTGGGATGGATCCATGCTGTTGCAAATCGAAGCCTCCGAGAATATGTGGAACAAAACAGCCGGTCTATGCGGTACGATAAACGATGATCCAGGGGATGATTTCTTGACTAAGAGCGGTACTCGTACTAAAAATATCGGTACCTTGGCAGATTCTTGGCGAGTCGACAACATCGAAGGTAATACCGATAAAGTACCTTTTGAGTAAATCGTGCTTGCAAGATTGGTGAACGTATGAAAATACTTGATGCTTGTGTCATTTTACACTTTTAGTCGATACTTAATAAGCGACAAGCTATTTTGTATCTATACTACTCTGATGATCTATTATGACAATCTACTACTCCGACCGATGTACCATTCTGATAATCATTTTAATACGGATGCGCGGTATTTCGCTTTGTAGAAACATGCGACGAACCTTCGAAAACGCAACATGCATGCGAAGTGAAAAATGAGTTCGCCCAAGACGCTTTGAACTTCTGCACCGAGCTACTTTTCAATCGTAAATTCAAGCCTTGCGCTCATACGATAAAAATTTCTAAGCTGATAGAGGCATGTGTATGGGATTATTGCGCGTGTAGAGACAGTGACAGAAGGAAATGTTCCTGCAATACCATGGACGTCTATATGCGCCAGTGCATTCACAAGGGAGTTGTAGTGTCAACTGCGTGGAGAAACAACGACACTTGTCGTGAGTCAATTTAAAAATGCTTTCAATTAATTTAACAACTTTGCAAAACGACGCAACATTGTACGATGTTATTAATATTCATTATAGAATAAGAATGATGTATTATGAGCTAATTATCTCCTAGCTCAATGTTGGAACATGTAATGTATATGTGAAATAACGAGAAATCGAATAAAAATCATTTTTCAGCGATTTCCTGCAAGAATGGACGAATATACATGTCATGCGGACCGAAGGTGGAAGCATCCTGTTCTTCCGGTCTCGAGCCGAAGAGCGAAAGTCCTGAATGCGAGGAAGGTTGTTTCTGTCCGGCAGGCACTCTGGAGCACCAAGGTGGATGCATCATACCGGATCAATGTCCGTGTAAATTGAGGGGCAAACTGTTCGAGCCAGGAACGAGCGTGCCGAAGGGTTGCAATACTTGTACCTGCACTGCTGGAAAATGGATATGCACGCAGGTGCAATGTAGCGCTAGATGCTCTGTCTTGGGGGATCCTCATTATACTACCTTCGATAGCAAGCACTACAATTTCATGGGAAAATGCAAATACTATTTGATGAAGGGAGAAAACTACACGATCGAAACTGAAAATGTCCAATGTTCCGGGGCGATATCCGAGGTTAGAAGCCTTTGGAGAAATTGTATAAACTGATCCTTTGAACTGTCGAACCAACGTAAAATTCAGAAATTAATGTCATTCTTCGTCTTTATTTAAAATTCTTATTTATCGCTTCTTGTCATTTGTTTTATAGAGCATGGGTTTCGTCCCCGTGGATTCCCCATCGTGTACCAAGGCTGTTACAATCCGTCTTGGGAATACTTTTATAAAATTGAAGCAAAATCGTCAGATTACAGTGAACGGCGACGAAGTGACGAAATTCCCGATGCAGATTGACGGTGCTCGAATACGACTCGCGAGCAGTATATTCCTGGCGATTAATTTACCCAATGATTTGGAGGTATGGTGGGACGGTATGGCACGCGTTTATATCAATGCTCCGGCAAAGTTCCACGGTAAATTCATATTGTTCAACTTGTATCTATTTTTGTGACAGATTATTTTTCTCTCGTTTTCTTTTTCTTCCAGAGATACCCCTACTAATTCAACTGTTGTTATCAGGTCAAACAAAAGGACTCTGTGGAACATTTTCTGGAAATCAAAAGGACGATTTTGTAACACCCGACGGTGACGTTGAAACCACGGTGATTGCCTTCGCGAATAAATGGAAAGTGAACAAATATTGCATCGACGAATCCGTGAACGAGCCGAAGCATCCCTGCGAGTTGAATCCTCAAAAACGAGCAGCAGCGGAGGAATACTGTTCCAAAATACACACCGATATTTTTTCAGGTATTTATCGATATCGTGTTGTAAGTTGCATCTATTTTATAATTCAATCCGCTGCTGACGACTAATCAGTCTAGAGATTGCGATTAATTGACTCATGATATTCCAGGGTGCCATTGGCACGTTGATCCGACGGAGTTTTACCGGGATTGCATGTACGATATGTGCGCATGTGATACCGATGTTAAATCGTGCCTTTGTCCGATGTTAGCTGCGTACGCGAAGGATTGTGCGGCGCTAGGCGTGAAACTTTCGTGGCGTTTGGAAATTGACGAGTGCAAGGTTCATTGCAGCGGCGGTCAGACCTATCAGATCTGTGGAAATAGCTGCACGAGGTAGCTACATATTCTAATCTACTTTTGCGTTTGTTCGTTATAGTTTTTATCGCCCTGATTTATCTTTGCTTATATCTATATTATAATTTCTATAATATATACACATCCACACATGATATAGCGATTCAGTTTTTAATTTAGGTCGTGCGAGGACATATCTTTTTACCAGGACTGCAAACAAGAGTGCGCAGAGGGATGCAATTGCCCCGAAGGTCAAACACTAGATGCGAACGGCGAGTGCATCCCGATCGCTGAGTGTTCCTGCACACACGCGGGTCGCAAGTACAAGTCTAATCATCGGGAAGTAAGGCCGGGTAATAAGGGACAAGAATATTGTACTTGCATAGGTCGGTGTTTAAAACGCGAATCGATCGACTTTTCCTTTCGCTTGAAACGTAAAATTCCGTCCTGTCTGATTTTAGGCGGTGTATGGGACTGCCGTTCAGCAACACCGCAAGAAATTCGAGATTATCCATCGATGACGGGGCTACTCTCTACCTGCGTCAGCAGCAAGCATCTCGAGGTGACGGATTGCGAGCCGGTGGAACGGAGAACTTGCAGCAACATGCACATACCGGTGGACGAGCGTAGTCCAGCAGTGTGCACGTCCGGTTGCATCTGCGAGGCCGGATACGTCCTAGACGTGCCGAACGGCATTTGCATCCCGGAGAAAGACTGCCCGTGTCATCACGGTGGAAAGAGTTACAAAGAAGGCTCGGTCATTCAAGCTGAATGTAACACTTGCACGTGCGAGGGCACCAAGTGGAAATGTACGGATAGAATATGCGCAGGTGATACTTCCCCTTTGAAAATCATTAACCATGATTTGCTACACACGACTGGCTTGACACTGAAGAATCGTTTCAGACAGTGACAAGAGAATTGTCGTATTAGTATAATTACTATCATGCACCCTATTGCACAATTTTCTTTACGCAGGAGTCTGTTCTGTATGGGGCGACTCGCACTACAAGACGTTCGACGGTAAGATGTACGATTTCCAAGGTATATGCGATTACATTCTGGTAAAGAGCAAGATGAGTAAGGAGGAGTCGTTCGACATCTCGATTCAGAATGTACCGTGCGGTACGAACGGCGTCGCATGCTCGAAATCGATCACACTCTTAGTGGGAAACGGTGAACAGCGAGAAGAACTCGTCCTAACGAAGGGGAAGAAGATACCGGAAGGGCCCTTCAAAAGGATGACAATCAGGACCGCTGAGCTCTTCGTGTTTGTCGATGTACCAGACTTGAGATTGGTGTTGCAGTGGGATAAAGGTATGGGATACCTTTAAATACCATAGAGTCGAATGTTCAGTCCATCGATGAAAAAAATGATACTTTAGAAAAAATGATGCACGTGTCATTTAATAGGTTCTGAGAATACAGCATCTCTTGGCGAACATTTCAGTTTATTAGGATTAGAAGAATGCTTAATTATTGAGAGAAAAGATACGCAGCGCATTCGACGCAACATTTTACTTCGTGCTCTCGAGACATTCGATCAAGTAGCTCGAAATTCCAACAGGCACCAGAGCTTACGTGAGATTAGATCCGGAATGGAAGGGCCGTACGATGGGCCTGTGCGGCGATTACAACGATAACGCCGAGGACGACTTCAAAACACCGTCCGGCGGTATATCCGAAGCCTCCGTCAACTTGTTCGGTGACTCGTGGAAGAAGGACACGTTCTGCCCGGAACCGAAGGACGTCCCGGACGCGTGCGAGCAGCACCCGGGGCGCAAGCTGTGGTCGCTACGACGGTGCAGCGTGCTGAAATCATCGGTGTTCTCACCGTGTCACTCGGAAGTCGAGGTCGAACCGTACGTGCGTAACTGTATCTTCGATACGTGCAGCTGCGACTCCGGCGGCGACTGCGAATGCCTGTGCACAGCGTTGGCCGCGTACGCGTACGAGTGCAATGTGAAGGGTGTGCCGGTGAAGTGGCGTACGCAGGAACTCTGCCCGTTGCAATGTAACGAGGAGCTGAGCACATATTCGCCTTGCATCTCGACATGCCCGCGCGAGACGTGCGACAACCTGATGACTGTGAGGGACGGCTCTCACTTGTGCGCCGAGGACACGTGCGTCGAGGGCTGCCAATTTAGGCCGTGTCCGGAGGGCCAGGTGTATCGGAACGCTACCTACACGGAATGCACACCGAGGTCGACGTGCAGGACGCCGTTTTGCGCAGAGATCGACGGAGTGACATACCACGAGGGTGATCGAGCCGGAGGTGACGATTGTCAGAGCTGTTTCTGCAGTCGCGGTAAGGTGACATGCAAAGGAGAACCTTGCACCACTAGCCTCACCGGCAGGCCCGTCACTGTGCCCCAGGTAGAGTCGCAGAGATGCGTAGACGGGTGGTCCAAATGGATCAACAAGGACACAGCGGTGTATAAGGAGGAAATAGACGCGGAGCCATTGCCGGACTTGATGGACCTCGATAACACCAACGGATTCGCGATGTGCGACAGGGAACATATGGTCGATATAAGATGCAGGTCCGTGATGCAGCACCTGAGCCCGAAACAGAGCGGTCTGGACGTGGAGTGCAGTCTGGAGCGCGGTCTGTACTGTCGGCCGACTTCGGGTTCGCCTTGCATAGATTTCGAGATCAGCGTGTTGTGTCGCTGTTCCAGCGACGAAACGACGATGGAGCCACCGACGGTGTATGACCACCGAGGCACGACGACGCAAGTTAGTACGAACAAAACGAGCGAAACGTGCGATACGGCGCGCCCCAATTCACCGCATCCGACCGACTGTCGGTTGTTCTATCACTGCGTGCCCACGGTGACCGGTCATGGACCGGCGGAGTTGATCGAGAAGTCGTGCGGTCCTGGCACTCTGTACGATGTGAAGGCGCAGGTGTGCAACCTGCCTGCAGAAGTCCTGCGGACACGACCAGAGTGCTCGGTCGAGCAAGCTACGCTGAGTAAGAGCGAATGGAGCACGACCAACCGTGCCGGGATTGAGAGCAGCGCGACGATACCAACGACATCGGTGAAGAAGACGGTGTCGACTGAGAAGGCGTGCCAAGACGGCGAGACATGGAGCGAGTGCGCCATTCGGTGCACAAAGGCGTGTCATTATTACCGTTACAGCCTGACGTCGCGAGGTCACTGCAACGAGGGTGCAGACTGCGTCGCTGGATGCGTATCGGTCGAGCGGCCGACGTGCTCCCCGCACAGATATTGGAGAGACAGCGTCACCTGCGTGGGCGCGGACGAATGCCCATGCGAGTCTCACGATGGGAGCTTGGTCGCGCCCGGTGCCGTCAGGAAGGAGTCCGATTGCGACACTTGCCAGTGCATCAACAATTATTACACCTGCGACCGCGCGTCGTTCTGCGGCAACGCGACCACGAGCTACGAAGAACGGCCGCTCGGCGGAACGTCCGGCATGCCAAGTCAAGCCGTTACCGTCGAGCAACTGCCCGAGTTCACCGAGTCGCCGGAGTATTATGAGTGGAGTGTCACGTCGCCGGTCGAGGAATACACGTTTCTTCTGCACAGCACAGTTTCGCCGCCCGCGGACTGCGACGAGGTGCACTACGTGCCGCTGATACTGAGCCAGCTCGAGAAAGTGATCGTCCACGCTAGCAGCAGCAAATTCCCTGTGCTTCGGCCCGAGAATCTATCCGTGCACGCGCCGGGTACCTCATCGCCCGAGATCGGCTCCTGGGAAGCAAAAGTGAACGACGCGCGTCAGTGGCTGGCCATTGAGTTCGATAGACTCGAGCCAGTTTACGGCGTGATACTGCAAGGTGCCGTGACCGAGGATAAATTCGTCACCAGTTACAAGGTGCTCTTCTCGGAGGACGGTCAGACCTTCTCGCACATGCTCGACCGTGAGAAGCGACCGCGTGTGTTCAGAGGACCCATCGACAGAAGCCAGTCCGTAAAACAGATATTTGACCAACCCATCGAAGCGAAGACGATACGCATCGAACCGTTGACATGGCACAACGGGATAGCGGTCAGGGCGGACGTGTTGGGATGTCGGGATCGCACGATGACGTCCATACGGACGTCCACGGAGCTTCCTATCGTGGTGAAGACTACAGTCTCCGAGAAGTCCACGGCGAAGCCGGTGTGCGACGATCCGATGGGATTGGACAACAACTCGATGACCATCGGGCAGGTTTCGGTGTCGAGTTCTCCGCAGCTGACTCAGCACCTTCCGTTATCCTCGGCAAGTGCGTGGCGTCCGGCTTTGGACAATCCGCATCAGTACGTCCAGTTTGACTTTCTGGAGCCTCGAAACTTGACCGGAGTCACAACGAAGGGAGGCGACGGTGCTTGGACGACCGCTTACAAGATATTCTACAGCAACGACAAGCATCACTGGAATCCGATCATCGACGAGGACGGTAACGTGAGGGAGTTTCTCGGCAATTTCGACGCTCAGAGCCTGAAGACTAATTTGTTCGAGAAACCGTTGCGCGCGAGGTACATGAAGCTACAACCTACCAAATGGCACGAGCACGTTGCGTTGAAGGCCGAACCCCTCGGTTGTTACTCGGCGTACCCGCCCACGTCGTCAGAGACATCCGAATCGACGAGTCCGTCGTCGTTGGAGCGTTGGAGGTGCAACGTGTGCGACGGAATCGAACGGATGCCAAACGACGAGGGATGCAGGTGCAAGGATCCCTACTGGTGGGACAGCGAATCGTGCGTACCGAAGCGAGAATGCCCCTGCATAGTCGGGCATGTGTCTTACGCGGTAGGCTCAATCTACAGAACCGAGGATTGTCAGGAGTGTGTCTGCACTATGGGCGGAACAGCCGCTTGTATGCCGAGAAAATGCGAGCCATGCGGAGAACCGGGTATGCGGTCGGTCGTCAGTGAATTGTGCACCTGTTTGTGCAAGCCTTGCCCGGCAGGAACCAGGCACTGTCCTACGAGCGACGTGTGCATCAACGAAGCAGCGTGGTGCAACGGCGTGCAGGATTGTCCAGACGACGAGATGGATTGCGAGCAAATCCACGCCGTGACGGTGATTAAATCAGAGGCGACTCCGAGGCCGACCGAGATTAGCCCGTCATTGTGCGAAGAGCCGTCGTGTCCTCCGGATTACAGGATAGTCTTCGCGTCGTCCCAACGCGACGAATCGTTACGTGACAATGTTAAAGGCTACTCGAAGAGGAGGATGAAGCCCTCCGCAGTCAAGGGTTCCAGTCAGAGGAAGGTCAAGGAACACAGGAGACCACCGCCGATTGTGTTCCGCAATCACCCGACGAAAGACACACATCAACATCAATCGTCGACAGCGGAGAACGTTCAATGTCCCGAGTTCACCTGCGCGCCCACGAAATTCCCGCCCATTCATCCCGGTTCAGGCAAGAGGCCGGAAAAGTGTCCGGAGGCGTCGTGCCCGCCGAACTACGAGATTGTCTACGAGAAGATGAGCATGTACAAGTTACACAAGTGTCCTAAATACGCCTGTAGACCGCCGATGCCGGAGGTGGCGCACTGTAACATCACCGGGCGGACCCTCAACACGTTCGACAATCTGGAATACAAGTATGACGTCTGCGATCACATATTGGCCCGCGACATGTACGGCAACAAGTGGTACGTCACCCTGGAAGAACGGTGCGACTCACCCGGCCGACCGTGCATGCGAGTCTTGGTGGTGGTGCTAAACAATCGCGCAATCGTGTTATATCCGGACTTGCACATGGACGTCGATGCGTACAGCTTCACGGCCGGGCAAGTCGCGCGCCTCGGCAATCGTTTCCCTGACTTCAGGCTGTCTCGCATGGGCGACAGTATCGTCCTGCTGCTCTCGCATCAGGGCTTCTGGGTCACCTGGGACTCCGCCGCGAACGCGAAGATCAGCGTCGTTTCGAAGTTGGCAGGTAGAATAGACGGTTTGTGCGGATACTACGACGGCAATATCGCGAACGACCGGCAGACACCGGAGGGCAAACAAGCAAGTAGCACCGTTCAATTCGGTGACAGCTGGATGACCGAGGGCGCAACGCTAGCTTGCGACTCGCAGGTATGTCCGCGTGACGTTCAAGGGCAAGCCTGGACGATCTGCAACTCCGTAAGAAGCCCGACGCTGATGGACGCGTGCTCCGCGGTAGTCGACACCGACAGATTCGTGTCCCGCTGCGTGGAGAACTCGTGCACGTGCTTGCGCGGCAACAGCTCCTACGAGGACTGCCGATGTCGTCTGCTGACGAGCTTCGTCAGCGAATGCGAGGCAGCCGTGCCCGGTGCTGACTTGTCCGATTGGAGGAGGATTCACGATTGTCCGGCCAGCTGTCCGCCGCCGTTCGTTCATCGAGACTGTTACCGTAACAAATGCGAGCTCACCTGCGACAATCTGCACGAGCTGGAGCCGTGTCCGACGATGCGGGGCGTGTGCTTCCCCGGCTGCTTCTGCCCGGAGGGCTTGGTGCGCCAGAACGACAAGTGCGTACCGCCGGTGCAGTGTCGGGATTGCGTATGCGACAGCCTCGGTGACTCCAAGTTCATCAGCTTCGATCGCAAGGACTTCAGTTTCATCGGGAACTGCACCTACATTCTGTCCAGGAACGTCGCAGCCGACGCGAAAGGTTGGGACGGGCCTCACGCGTATCAGATTCTAATCAGTAACGGGAACTGCGCTCTCGGCGCGTGCACAGAGGCCGTTACGCTTCTTCACGCAAAGCACACGGTGCGAATAGAGCGTGCGGATCTCGGATCGAAGGAGCTGCGAATCTCCGTCGACGACTCCCGAATAGCCGAATTCCCATACAATCGCACGTGGATCACGTTGGATCACGAGACGACCGCGAGAGACGTATCTCTGTTGCTGCCGGCCATCCAGCTGGAGCTCGTCGTCTTCCGGCAGAACTTTGCGTTCACCCTCAAGCTCCCGTCGCACATCTTCGACGACGCTACCGAGGGTCTCTGCGGCAGCTGCAATGCCGATACCGAGGCTGGTTTCAGGAAGCGCGACGGCGGGATTACCGATAACGTCGAACAGTTCGGTCAATCTTGGCTGGCTGACGATCCGTCGATGGAGTCGAGCTTGAATGATGAAACATGCTCCGGTGATGAGCGGCGAGTACGATGCGCGCCTCCACCAGCAGATCAGGATGTTTGTAGAAAGCTCTTGGATTTAGTCGAGTTCCAGCGGTGCCACAGTATCGTCGATCCGAAACCATACTTGGACTGCTGTCACGACGCGTTATGCATCGGTGGAAACTACTGCGACAGTTTGGAGATGTATGCGAGGAAGTGTTCGGATGTTGCTTTGTGCCCAGCTTGGAGAACCGACGACATTTGTCCGTACGAATGTCCTAGAGGTAAATTCTCTGGTTCTCTCTATTGTTCGTTTTATCCAGATCGACGAGGAAAGGTTTATCTCCGAGAAGTTAAAGTCAGACGGAGTCATAATTAGCTAAAGCCGAGGAATTACCTCGCGAGGTCATACAAATATATATATATATGTATATTGTTTCTCGTAGATCTCGTCTATCAACCATGCGTTGTTGGTTGCAAAGAAACGTGCGATACTCCGAGCGACGAAAAGTGCTCATCCGATCTTGTCGAGGGATGCTTCTGCCCGAAGGACTACGTATTTCACAATGATACCTGCGTACCAAGGAAGAACTGTCATTACTGCGACAAAGACGGTCATGTGAAAGGTGACGTTTGGCATCCGGACATATGTACCGAATGTAAATGCGACGATGGAGTTGTGAATTGCCGGAAAACGGAGTGTCCTCTGTTGGACACGATCTGTGAGGAGAACATGACGCCCGTGCTTGTCAACGAGACTCGGGAAAAATGTTGCGCCAAGTATCTGTGTGGTGAGTTTATAATACTCCATCATCTGTAAGAAGCGTCTAATATATCTAATATATTTTTGCCGAGTTTGCTGATCGATGATTCGATGATTTTTCATAAAGTGTCGAAGCCTACAGCACCCGTAGTGTGCGTCGAGCCGCAGGAACCCGAGTGCGGCTTCGGTCAGATCACAAAGACTATTACCGGCACTGATGGATGTTACAAAATCATTTGTCGTACGTGTCGAATGCATTTTCACGTCGCCTCTCTCGGCTTGATCTTCCGTGAGTAACAGTACGTAACAGGCTACATAATTTCAGAATGTCTGCCTGAGAACGAATGCCCCGTTGTCGAGGATCTTACGAATGAGATTGAACTGGAGCCCGGTTTCGTGCAAGTAACGAATACATCCGGTTGCTGTCCGCGATCGGCCAAAGTATGCGATCCGAGAACTTGTCCTTCAGCGCCTGACTGTCCAGAGTATTACAACTTAACGACGACCACACGCACGGACAGTTGCTGCCCCAGTTATGAATGCGGTATAGTTCAACTTTCACGTGTACTCGTAAATTTCTCTTAAATTACTTCATTTTTATTACAAGTCGACATTATCGACGACGATACACTTATTCTAGAATGCAGAAATGCATATCAACATCTGCAAAGTGGAAACGTTAATTGATATTGTTGTTTTATATTTTAGTACCTCCGAGGGATATTTGTCTGTACACAAGTGACGAAGATCGAAGATCGCACGAAGATGGTACGAACGTAACAGCGAGAAAAATTGGGGAAGAATGGAAAGATGGCAAATGCAAGACGTGTATATGCGAGAATTTATACGATGGTCCCAAATCGAACTGTATGATTACGGAATGTCCAAGTATGTACGAGCATCCTGATGCAAACGACTATGTATGGAAGGAAATACTATTGGATGACAAATGCTGTCCAGTCTTTGAGCGTAGCGCTTGTAAAGATGAAGACAAAATCTATAATGTAAGAGAGAAATTACATCGACACGTCATATATCATAAGAAACATAGTTTTTAATATCACCATTCAACACCATTTATAATAGATCGGCGAAAGTTGGAAACCCAATGTTAAAGACGCTTGTGTCACGATGGAATGTAACCAACAATCGGGCAGCATCCAGAAGCAGGTCAAGGTCCAAGAATGCAATGTTGTATGCGATTTCGGTTATAAATATCAACAGGCCAACGACACCACGGTTGATTGCTGCGGGAAATGCGTTCAAACCGCGTGTATAGTAGAAGGCATACTTAAGGATGTAGGAGAAGAATGGCAGTCGGGCGATCATTGCGTGACATACTCTTGTGACTCCACGAGTGGAAGCGTAAGATTCTCCCAGAGATTTCGAGTATTTAATTAATGGTGAATATTCGAGCGCAACTAGTATCTGTTTTCAGGTGTACGTACGAGCGAGTACTAAAACTTGCCCAGAGATTGACCCGGAATTGAAATCGGAATTTGACGTAGAGACTCGCAAAGTTCGAGGCGAGTGTTGCCCAGAGATTGTCAAAACGGCTTGTCGCAGTAATGGGAAGATATATCAGCCTGGGCAGAAGTGGAAATCTCTCGTAAATAGTTGTGTCACCGAGACTTGCACAACAGGCCCGAACATAACGAAGCATAAGGAAACTGAAGTGTGTTTAAAGCAGTGTGCTCAAGTAAGAATGTTTTATCGCATGCGCTGAGTGCTATTGTAACGCTAAGAGTATAATATATTAATATTACATCGATTGGTCTTTATACAAGGGATGGTCATACCAAGAACCCGAAGAAGGCAAATGTTGCGGGGAGTGTAAGCAAACATATTGTGTATATGAAGATACTTTATACGCCCCTGATATGACATGGTCATCTGACGACAACTGCACCACTTATAGTTGCTTAAGAGTGAACGAACAGGTGAGTCTCGTTACACAGGATATAGCCGGTAGATTAAGTATTTTTATTATCATTTATAATCAGCAGGTGCAAAAGTTTTAGATTACATAATTGTGCAATAAGTATTTGTATGTTTAACCATATCGTCTTGTGTGATTCGGATAATTTTAGCTATCCGTTAGCGTGAGTCCAGCCGTTTGTCCCGATATAAAAGATTGTCCTGAAGAAGCAATATATAGTGACGAATGTTGCAAACGATGTAAACTGTCTGTTCTTGATAAATTGGCAGAGAAGAGTACGTGTCGAAGAACTAGAATAATTCTCTCATTTATTTATCGGTCATACTTGCAAGTTAATTAATCGTCTTGCAATTGCTCATGCAGGCGAATGCAAATCAACTGTGATGGACGCAAAGAGCACCTTAGGTATACTAATTGTGAATCATCCATTATATGGAATATGTAAAAATTTGAATCTTATCGAGGGTATCAAACAGTGCAACGGAACATGCAAATCTTCCGCATACTTCGATATTAGTAAGTTTAGATTGACTAATATTTTTCATCCTAATTTGATGCTAAGTTTAAGTAATTTCCTTTTTTTTTCCTAATAGAACACTGGAGAGAAGTGAATGATTGTCAATGCTGTCAAGCAGAAGGGCATACTGGCATCATCGTCGACTTAATATGCACAGATGGTACAAGGTTGAAGAAGCAACTGGCAGTGCCAACTTCTTGTTCCTGCAAAAGTTGTGCTCTTTCAGACATGAGAAAGGAAGATAGAGAAACAAAGACCAAAGGTTAATTTATAAAAACTTTGATTACTCTTCTTCGTTTGTGTATTTCGAACGATCAAATATTCTTGTAATGTGAGATATGTTACAAATATATAGATTATTACAAATAATTCTTCTGTAATTTCTCATTCATGCTTCATGCGGATGAAGAATTTATATTTCACGCGTTACTGTTTATAATCGTATATTATACCTATAATCGTAAATCGTACATTTATAGGAATGTATAAATCAGGATACAAATAATGTCGAAATTTAATATAAGTTTGTTTAATTCCGGATATTTTCGGAATAATATCCGGATAAATGAAAGATCGCATATAAACGACATGTTATGTAATTTAAAAGAATAAAATTTTCTCCATATTTCATACATATGCGTATTGCTATTAAGGAATTCAAACATCTCAATACTGAAAAAACAACAGTGTGCAAATGTATTTATAGAATTACATAAAAAGAGGATGGAACAATATATTCATCTGTTAGAATGTTGATTACTGCTTACAAATATCTACTTGTAGATATAGTTCTTTGTTGGAAGAAAGGGGCTAATTGCTGGCCATTAGATTGTATTGCATCGACAATATTGTATTGTTCATTATTGTAGAAAGATGTTAACTCTAAATAATTACAATATATTAATATCAGCAAAAAATTGCAAAAGCGCGCGCACGCACGCGTATGTGTGTGTGTGTGTGTGTGTGTGTTGACGGGAAGCAGAAGTTCTCATTTAAAAATAGAGGGTTTTATCCACAACTTTGTCCAGTTTACCAAGTTTAACTAAAAAAGTCTAACTAAAAGTCTAACTAAAAAAATATACATATCAGTTGTAACAAAATTTTCAGATCTACTCGATACATCTAATGGATTTTGTAACTTAAAAACATATTATATATGTGTAAGAATAATGATAAATATCGTACACCCGAATCATTGACAACAATACAAATCATACGCATTTCTACCATGTTGATAAATTCACAGTAAATAATTACTTGGAGCTAATTGTTATTAAAGTTCGAAGTGGAAAAATCCTAAATAATTATTTCTGCAATGTTACTGGAATAACAAATATTGAATAAAATCAAATAAACGCTGCACTTGGTAATTACGTTAGCATTTCGCTGCTGTTTAAAAAATGACACTGGTTGTGGCTAGACGTTACTCGATAATTCTCTCTTCATTAAGCATCGTAGAGAAAGATAATTTAGTACTTTCCGACACGAATTTTCACAAGTAACAGGATCACGTAATTCGTACGTTTAGTAAATTGTCCGTTTCTAAATTTATTTACATCATCTATTTCCGTTCATTATAGTTCGGACTTGGCTTCAATATGATCAGAACATTGTTTACGATGTAATTTGAAACACAGCCAATGACCCAAGACGAATTTTGAATTAATGCTTAGTTCTCTCATTGGGCCATCGACGGGCCTTCCAAATTGCATTGAAAATGGTATTCAAAACATTTTGAAGCCAATTATATACTTGCGAACAGTCGCTCGAATCATTGTAGACTCATTGTATGCGATTTGCATTAATTCGGTGAAAAATGCTATTTGATTCTGAATTCGACATTAAGAAAATCAAATAGATTTTAGAATTTAAAAAACGGCGCATACCATTTCGCACAGTTATTTTCATTATATACATTTACACATTATTATAATTCTTGCGTTTTTTCAATCAACTTTGTTACATGTAATTATTTTTATATATTCTATTCCGCTTTGTTTATACACTCTGTTTATACGCCAAATTTTTATGTTTATATATATATATAGAAACTTATTTCTTACTAGATAAATAACAAAGGAAAACATGCACTGCACATAAGGTGCACGCATGCACACATTCAGGGTATCTGGATTTAAGTGTCCAATCGCTCATGTACAGGTGTGAGGCTCATTAAACTGCACAGCAAAATCCTTCATATCGTTTTGTAAATTAAAATGTCAAGATATTAACGAAACAAAATTAGCCAATTATCATGCGTGATGCGGTGGGACCCGCTCTGTAATGTGGCTTAAATAAGATAGTCAACAAGTTTGAAACATTTTGAATGAAATTGTGCCTACAGAGCTCATCTCACCGCATCACACGCATTAATTAGTCTGTCTTTTGTATTTGTGTTGTGTTGTGTGTAAGTTTGTGTTGTATGTGTGTAAGTTGATTGTACGCTAATACACGAAACGCGATGGAACAAATTCTGATTGTGATCTTATATTGAAAATAGCTGATAATGTCTCTTAGCAGCACTGACCATCAGTTGGCAGCGGTCGAGATATGCATTTACGTCATTTTGTGTGCGGTGGCCCTTACAGAGTCTATGCACCACATAACACACTCATTCATCAATCTTTCATTAATCCGTAACTGCTGTTCTCCGGTCAATTTGACCATTGCACTATTTGAAATTTAAATAACGCGGTTAATTTTCTAGTTGCGTATTCATCCGTCAGTGTATTTTCTTACATTCTGAATGTCAGTCGACTGATATACGCGCAGTTGTGTGGTTGTGTTATTTGTCAAGATATTCATCAATTCCGTTTTCTACCGGTCAATTTGACCGGTGAACAGTGCGCGCGTACTTAAAATGGCTTCACAGCAGTTACGGGTTAATGTCTCGAAGCTCAATTTAATATATCCTATCTGCACACGAGCGTGTTACATCTTGTACCAGACACTCCCTATATGTAAAGAATTAAATGTGCGTGTGTGCGTGTATATATATATATAAACATGAAATATAAATGTACCAAAGGTATCTAAATTGCATACATCTCGATCAAATCAGTTTCGATCTTAAAGACAATTAACAATTTGTAATAACATAGATATATTTACTTGCGAGGTATTACATGCTTTAATAAAAATTGCGACATATTATTTATTATTGTAATACTGATGATGTATCAATACAGTCGACAGATAAAATATTTATCGTATTTTGTGCTATAATCAGAAATACATCGAAGGGAAGAATACGCCATCATCAAATCTAATCGGCTTTTTAACGCTGTAAATTTATACGGAAATCGAGTTCTCAGTTTCTCGAATACCAAAGCACGTAGCATGAAAATCTTGGACACAGGTCAATTTATTTTCCCTACGTTTATCACGCTAAAGTTAACGTTACACGATGCTCGATTTCATACCTTCCAATATAAGTCTGCCAATGCGATTTATGCAGTGAATGAGTTGCTTACAGCGTGCCGTGATCAGTATGCACGTCAGAAGGCATACAAAATCGTTTATTATATGATATTAACTTGAAAAAAAAAAAAAAAAAGACATTACCGTGTGTGATTCCCTTATTGGTATAATTTCATTACATTATTAATTTTATTACGTTAAATCGCTCTAAATTATATATATATATATATATATATATATATATATCCCAAATTGCCTAATTTGGGATGCATATACGATTTTTAATTTCATCACAAAAGACTCTGTCGTACGATGTGTGTGTATGCGTATCTATATACCTTTAGATTAATGCGCCATGAGTCATGTCATTGAGCGTCATTACGAGCCGATCACGTTGTAGATCACACCAGACTATAGCAGGTGTCCAAAATAATCAAATGTATCCAGTTGATTGTGATAAAAACTGTTATCGACAGAATTGTCCATGCGTTTTCTAATGTAAACTCGTGAAATTTTACGTTGGTCCAATGAAACATATGTCGCACATTCCTCATAAGTTTTACACAGAAGACGCAATGATTGCGCAATATACGTTTTTCATTTCTCTATTATCACACACAATGCACATTTTTCTACCAGCGTAATCGAATTCTATGAACACCATCGTTGTAACGAACACCACGTTTCCTCCTCATTCGAAGTGTTGTCTTATGTATGCCAGTTCCTTAATAATTTACAGTAAAATTCCTTACATTCTCGAGAATGGCTCAGTGTTATATTCCATTCATTGTCATTTTCGGATTTTTCTTTCGACCTGTTGACATCTTGTCTAGGGATTCCTGAAACCAAGTGTACCTTAATGGCCAGTCCAGAAGGCTATACAGGGTGGGTGATTATAAGTTGCCAACCCGAAATGTGAAGGTAGATTGGGTTAAGATAAACGTAAAAGTCCCATACCGTTTTGCGAGATTCGCAATAATTATCGAGTTATTAATGACAGAAATCTGAGGAATGGGAGCGCGCCGACACAGATGATTGGAGAAGCGTTGCAGCTGCTTAGGCCGCAGCGCGGCCCAGTTGATCCAGAAACTGTTGCCGATGCGCGGCGAGGGGAAAAACAATGCGCTGCTATTCGTTGCTTTATCTCGCCGGACCTACGTCTCGCCGCACGCCGTCAACAGTTGCTAGGTCGAGTGGGCCGCACTGTGGCCTGAGTAGCTGCAACGCTTCTTCCTCCAATCATCTATGTCGGCATGCTCCCATTCCTCAGATTTCTGTCATTAATAACTCGATAATTATTGCGAATCTCGCAAAACGGTATGGGACTTTTATGTTTATATTAACCCAATCTACCTTCACATTTCGGGTTGGCAACTTATAATCACCCACCCTGTAGACTGCAAACGCCCAGTTGCGAGTTGCGAAGGATGGCAACTACTTAGTTGCAAGGTGCAATTCTTCTAGTCGCAAGAGACAGTCGCGGTTGCTAGAAAAGAGTTAAGCCTGGTCCAGAATAGGTTGCAAACACCCAATTGCGAGTTGCGAAGAATGGCGACTACTAGTTACAAAGTGTTATTTTCGATCGTAAAACAGTTGCGGTTGCTGAAGGAGAGTTGGCCAACTTTTAACTTCTTGGCAACCGGCGACGGCAACCGGCAATCGCAACTGTCTCTTACAACCGAAAATAGCACTTTGTAACTAGTAGTTGCCATCCTTCGCAATTCGCAACTCGCAACTGTTCGCAACCTATTCTGGACCGGGCTTTACCCAACTTTTAACTCTCTTTTAGCAACTGCGGCGACTGTCTCGTGCAACTGGAAACTGGAAACAGCACCTTGCAACTAGTAGTCGCCATCCTTCGTAACTCGCAACTGGACGTTCGCAACCTATTCTGGACCGGCTGTAAGTTTAATATACGATAAATTCAAATCATCCAATAGATACGATATATCATTCACAAGCCGTATCTCTTTTATCTTGTTACTGTATTATTATGCGAGTTATTAAAGCAATTTTTAGACAGTTGTCAAAATAGCGTAGTGACCGACCTTGTTTTCTCTGGTGATATCATATGCGAGATGACACGAATGAGTTCGTATTCTGAGCTTCCAGCTTGTTTAAGGCGTATTTGCACTTGGAAAACCATTTTATGTGCTCCTGCAAAGGCACGTCGTTTGGCTCCCAGTCCTCCAAACCTCCCCCGCAATAGTAACAGATGGTTCGATCCCCTTTTTTGGCGAAATAAAAGCCAGCTTCCGTCAGTTGTTCCTTCGTTTGGACCTTCGTCTCTGGCCATGTTTCAAAAGTAGATATTCTGTCGCTAATGTTGGCATATTCGGGATATTTCGCGCTTTGCAATTCGCCGAGACTGATCGTATTCGGTGTCTTGGTGTTCTCGAAATAGACGTCGACGGGAACATCGACAACGGCATTAGGTCGATATTGTATACCGTACACGCCGCATAAATCACGACTCCTCAATTCTGGTAGCGGTATCGTATCGGGATCGACACCAATCGGTACGTTCCCGCAAGGAATACCGCGGATGAATCTACACTTGTCGGAAAATCGCTGATGATCCACCCAAGGATTGTCGTCTGGCGACCACTTACGCAATGCCAAGCGGCATTCGAAGCATCTCACGGCGTCCTCTTTACCAGTATAATAAAAACCAGCGGCTGCGAGTGTCTTGGGTTTTACATACGACGTAGACCAATTGGCATAACTGTCCAATCTTGCAGCCTCAAACCGAAAATCCGTATAGTCCACATCGTCAACACCTACTGTTAATTCATCGGTGTTTGACATTAATTTCGGTGTAGGTGTAACATTCTTCAGGTTTGCTCCCAAATCCCTACATTCTATCATTCCACTGGTCATCTCTGAAGTGGGACGTTGTTTCGTAAACGTGCCTTCGTAAGGATCTGCAACAAGGTATAGAAAACGACATTTTGTTTAAGAATCAATCGAACAGCTCCCACTTCAAAGAGCACATTGTGGAATATGGGATACAAAAATTTGCAATTATGACAAAGTTGCGAGTCTAGCTCTACCAAAGCAAGCCAAAATACAGCGGAATACAAGCCTAATTCACCGATGATAGAAAAAGTTAGGAAACCTCTAAACTTAACAAGGACTGCTCGATAGATATTTCAGTTATGCTACGACACCAGGTGTCATACATGTCTCAACATTTATTTCTCAGGCTTTGCCATGATTTTCAAGCTTATGCTTATACAGGGTCTTTGATAATACATATAAAACTTTCGTCTACTAATAGATTAGGTCAAATTGAATAAAAAGGTCCTGTGCGTGCGTATGTGTATAGACATATATGAAATAATGAGGTATAAATATGTATATGTATATACAGATACACACAGACCACACCTCTTCGATATTTGTATCGTCTCGTGTATTCAGGACACATATGATTAATTAATTGCGTTAGATAACTCACGTTAGATATTTATTATACTCGCGGCACTTTCGTCTGCACGCTTAGACACCTATTCTGTTACTGCAGCTCTATCGGCGTTTATCACTCTTCTCGATTGCATAGATTTCTAATTATTACACTTGCCGGAAGCGTCATAATGTTTGTGAGAAATATATGATAAAAACATGCGGAAATGAACAATATTTTCAACATTAAAACATGTATCATCAATATTGTTATCTCATCTGTTTTCGGAAAGATTACAGTCTTGATTCAAAATTGATCACACAATATCGTAAAGAACGAAATTCTCAAATACGATTATCATTTACAAGCAAATATCAATTCATGAATCTACTGGATGAATTATAAGTAATTTTCATCACAGATAACAAGTAATTATTCTTAGGAGGGAAAAAAAATTAAAGCGACGATTAGAATCGGAAAATGAAGATCTAAAGGCTATGTAGGCCATATATATATTTTTGGCCGATTATTTTTTGTTCATTTTTATTTTGCTGCATGTCATCGTGTGACTTCAAATGACCTCGAATATACATACATATCTGTTGTATCTTTTTCATCTTTTGTCAGAATTAAATGTTATTTTTTGCCATTAAGCTGTTGCTGTACCTTTATATATATATATATATAATATATATTTCATACTTAACATTTAAATATTCAACGTTCTTTAACATCGTTTTTATACTTGTTCAGGAATGATGTACACGAATCGAAAGATTCTAGTTGTACGCATCATTCTTGCTTTCTGAGTTATATCTTTGGTGGATGTTCATGGAATGACTTTTTTTCTACTGTTGTGCCAAAATAAATATCAAACAATTTTTCGAACCGATTAATTACGTGAGTGACAGTATTCTCATTATCTACATTCTATCAAAGGTGTTTGTCTCGGTACTTGAAGTTATTAAAAAATAGATATCTCTCGCGACACAGCAATAAATTGACACTATTCCATTTATCTCGGTGGAATAACAAAATACCAATAACCACGAGTATCACGGTATTGTCATTTTACTAATAATTAAGATACTAACAAATACCGACAAATATCGAAAAAAAATTTTCTCGACTTAGATAAAGGTAGATTGTAATAAAGCGGTAGATATGGAATGTTTGTATATCAAGCTGTACGAGAGAGAGAGAGAGGGGGGGGGAGAGAGAGAGAGAGAGAGAGAGAGAGAGAGAGAGAGAGAGAGAGAGAGAGAGAAAGAGAGAGACAGAGGCAGCACTGTGCGTGACGCAGCTGTGCGTGACGATTCAGAGAAGTGTAGATTCATTCTGAAAATATCGAGGCAATTGAATCATACGAAAACACAAGTCTAATATTATCCAAGAACAATAGTTTAAAAGACCGGAGAGTCAAAAATTTATATATTGACAACAGATTTAATCTACCGGTAAGCCGGTCTATATACTCGCCGATAGATTGTCATAAAATCTAGTAACCATTTAATTTCTATTGTTGCCGAATATAACCTGAGAACCTGAGAACGAGTCAAAGTTAAATTAGTGTATAATTGCATATAGATGTATATGCAACAAATACCTCTCGTGATTAATACGAGTGCATATGATTATATCACCACGGTGACTGATCTTTTGATCAGCTTGAAATAATATCCGAAAAACGACTGGAAAATTTCGATAGATTACATCAGTGTACTTGACTTGATCCATCGCGTTTCGTAGCCATTACTATATATGCGTGATGTGTGTGTGTGTGTGTGTGTGTGTGTATGTGTGTGTGTGTTTATGAATTATTTATAATATTCTCGTGCTGTTTATTTGAGCGGAAGTGGACAAAGAAAATACAACGATGACGACGATAGCATCGATTGCTCGTTCGATACAAAGAAACAGTTGTATGAGACATCGAAAGACTTTCGCGGAAAGTCGCAATTCGCAATCCGCCACATGATAAGCCACGTGAAAACAACGGCAGCGAGGTAAGGAATCATCGCGCAATCTTATCTATATCTATTTACACTTGTTCTCTGCAATTTCCCCCACTAACGCAGTGTACAACTTACTTGTCGATACCACCACCAACTGTATTATTTATGCCTGAGTCCTCGGTTTTATGACTTCTTTTTCCCGCGAGCTCGTTATATCGTTGACGTACTTTGTTGGAAGTTTCAAGGTCTCCTCTATGTTGTTAACACGAATGGAACTATTAATATCGCTTTCAACATGATGATTTTCGTTGGATAGAAAACGATATACGACAACTCGACACACGAGATGGTTTCGCCGTCTCGGAAATGTTGTCAAAGCTCACACTGTTACTCACCTGGTAACTGACAGCAACGGATAGCGATTCGTTCAACTTGTTCAAACGTTCGTCCCCACTCAACACGCGAATCGTTCCGTTTTACCACACACTCGAGGTGGTAACCGCCTGACTGACAAACCGTCGATGGGAAAATGTTCGCTCGCAGCTCTGGTAAAATGCCGGCGTTTTCCTACCTTCGAATTTCGCATGGGTAGAGAGTAGGGGAATCAGCACCGAGTGATCACGCGACGACCTGGAACAGTAGACGGTCGTTCTTCTCACAGAACGACGTAAAGATCTTTCTCTTTGCTACAAGAAACAAAAGAAAAAGAGGTGCTAAATTAACACGTTCCGGTGATGAGCAATTTTTTCATGAGATTTCCATCGGAAATTTTAATGGAAACTCGACGGGAAATCTTTTGTAACGGTCATGGAGTGAGTTCCGATAACTGGGATAATTTCAAATACTACCACTGATTATTTTTCTCTTAAGTTTCTCTGCAAAAGTTAAAAAAACGAAGCAATATGCACAATGCAAATAGAAGACGTAACTTTCATCGAATAGAAATGTCAAAACGTCAAAACGTTTCGAAGATAAAACGGAGTTGAAGTAAAAAAGAACAAGATATTTCTCCAACAAAATTATTGAACGAGACAAACGACGCTGAAAGGAACTCCTCTCTCTCTCTCTCTCTCTCTCTCTCTCTCTCCCCCCCTCCCTCCCTCCCTCTCTCTCCCCCCTCCCTCCCTCTCTCTCTCTCTCTCATCCGACGACACAATATTTTCTATAAGTATTCCATTTATACTATATATATTTGGATGAAAATATTTTTATAGAAAAGTATATTATTCCTCATTAGACTTTGCATCAAAAGCTACAATGCTAAAATCCGATATCTATATATAGTAGATATAATAACAAATCGTTAAGTGTACGACTTTCCGACGAAAAGTGTTCCCTCACTGCCTAAAGTCATAATCCCCAATAAGACTAAAGCTATGTATGTATGTATGGATTCGCGCTGCTCGTCAGTGAGACAAAAATTCGTGAAATCTCGGTAAAATTCACGCTTTTGATAAAAATAATTGAGATATAACGGTCACTGGTACTGTGAATATACCAATGCAAAAGTGCTAAAGAATGTCTCGACGGATGACAGGACGGAATCCTGTCTGTTGCCGTCATAAGATGAATCGTGTGAATGTTTTTATTTGTCTTCGTAAAATAATTTATATCATAAATAAATACTTTATTATACAAATAATATATTATAATCATTATATCCTTATATGGAATATTTGACGTTATATTCGTCACAATGATGTATTTTTGTCGCAACTAGTCATCATGATTGTAGCAATATATATTTTATTATCCAAGTATTTGAGCCAATGTGTGTAACCATATTCTAAGGATAATAACTCAAGAAAATTCCGTGCTAAATGATAATTAAAGAGTGATTCAACATATGGAAAAACTTAAGAAAATAATTTAGATTATAATAATAATTTAGAAAATAATTTTACACTTAAGAAAATAAAGAGACGTATCGATTTATCGCGATAAATAAACCTATATCTTGTAGCATTGTCTGCGACATTTTCGCATATAAAAAGAATATTTTTTTTGTAACATATGATTTCGTTTCTGTTTACAAGTGAATTTGTTGTTTCGCATATATACGCACGCACGCACACACACGCAAGGGCATGTGCACATACATACACATTGATGATATCGCGTTCGCGACATCAATATATGTCATACCTATATTCATTAATATATCACTGTATCACACCAAACAACTATACTTTTCTATTTTTATGACATTCTTAACCAAATAATTTTTTTAAACTCAAGTACCTAACCAAGTATGGTTATGGACGTTTGTATGTATTACTTACACTAGTGCTGTCGGATAATTTGATCGCTCAATGATATTACGTAGTCACTAACGAACACAACATCGATAACAAGTAGAAAACTTATCTCTAATATTACTTCTGAGACTAACCATAGGTTTTATCATGCAACATATGGTGGGAATTAACACCAAAGAAATTGTTTCCTTCATAACGTTTCTGATAACTTGTTTGGTATACGCATATGTATATAACATGTGCAATTTTTATTGAAAAATAAAATAAATAATGTTACACATATTTGTTACATCTACGTAGCTGTGACTACTAAAGAATAATACAATTGACATTTTCTTACTTATCTATTTTTTAATTGTGCGATATATATATATATATATATATATATATATATATCTGATACATCTTCATAAAATCTCTTAACGTCATTAATACCGAAGAGATATTTTTAAGCTTAATAACTAATATCATAATATATTCTGCAAGTGTAATAACATTTCTCTGTATATTATAGCTTTTATAACACTGAGCGCGGGAGGGAGGGGAGGGTTGGGTAATTGCGTCAAAAGTTAATATCACCAAATATTTTAATCTGAAATCAACGTACCTCACAATTTTTGATTTCATTAATTTGAAACAAACTCAATTTCTTGTAAAATCGTTGTTTATATCGTCGCAAGTAGCTGTTACTTGCATCATGTATTTCAAAGTTCGTACACGACATATAAATTAATTATATAAAAGTAATATAAATTATTTATCGCATTGAGTGATGATTTTATATAAATTAATCAACAAGCATATAAGACAGGAAAGTTGAATATACATATAAGAACTGTGTAATAAGTTAATTAAAATTGAGTCTCTTGTGGATGTTCACCGCGGCCATATCGGATAGTGGTAAATAATTGCACGCTGAAAATTCTTGCGTGTCATTTATGAATGAAACAATATTTATATGAAAGATTATTTTACATTGATAGAGCATACTTGTAAAATGTTCCGAATACTATATTTCTCCCTTAAAGGTCAATCACAGTCGTAAAATAATTGTAACACGAGGTCTAGTCACACGCACAATCATTCTGTATGACCAATCTCATATTACAAACATTTTACGTTTGTAATTAATCTTTAAGAGAGAAACATAATATTCGAAACATTTTACAAACATACTCTATCGACTTGGAATGTTTTTTTATAGAAATATCTTTCTATTCGGAAATGGCACGCAAGAATTTTAAGCAATTTTCTCGTTTCTGGCGCCATCGATCAAGAATTCTACAGCAAGGGACCAGGAGCCTTAATACAAAATAAATAATAGAATATAGCAACGTAAAGTACAAATGTTATCACTTTAATAGAAATACTTCTTTAGGGATTCAAAATCCCTTAAGGTTAGGGTTTCAGCTACGTAAAATTGTACTAAAATTTTTTGTATGCGACAGATAGATATGTCAAGACCTGTCGGTCATTGTACTATACAAACAACAAACTAATTTTTATTTCAGTCCGATATTCGTGTCATTGGGTTAGTGTCAATTAGGCTGCGACAATATATCTCGGATCGCTTACTCCATTAAGAAACACCATTTAGAAAGCTTATTATGAAATCAAATCAACTTCCATACATCTGCTTACAATTATAAGAACAAAATGGATATAACCTTTGTACATATGTTTTAAGATATAAATTTCCCTCTAACTTTAGTATCATTAATACCTGAGATATATATAAACGTAATACATATCATATCATACCATAAAAATTGCGCTATTTCGTCAGATGATAAACTATTTCAACCAGTTAATAATAAATTTATATATCAATATCTCACATACTATGATATTTTATAACGAAATATCTTGGCAATTGAATACAAGAATAGAAGTTATAACAATAGCTATTCGTAAGTTTAAGGTACATTTAAGAAGCAATGGACATCTTAAATAAAATTCTACTTCAGGAAAAGTCATAATTTGCATAATTTAGGTAGGCTTTACGTAATATTGTCAGTTACTGTGTCTTTAAATTAAATATATAAATTATTAAAACTCAAACGAACAACATACTCTGTTTATCGCTTGCTCGGTTCATTGCATATATCTTTAACAAACTGTGTTATTAACGAAATAAAGACTAATTCTTTATCAACACCTTAAATGCCACGGTATGTTTTTTTTATAATTGGCACCATCATGCTGAAACATCTCGTTGATTTATATATACACAAGATAGATATAACTATATCTAATAAATTAGACACAGGAGAACAAAGAATCAAGGAAAAAAAATAGATATGTGCATAAAAGAACTGCATTTATCTATTGATATTATTGAAACATTAATTAAGCTTGGGAGCAATGGAAACGAACACAGTAACGTGTTGTGAAATAAATATAATACTTTAGAAAGAAAGAATCAGAGAATTATTGTCAAATATCAGTAGTAGAATCAACCAATATATAATCCATCGCGACGCAGTTTCAGTTGATATATAACTGCGTTATTGTCGTAAAATTTCTATAAAGATATTTGCAAAATATAAGATGTCTGATCCAACGTGCGGGTAAAAGTCATTAAATTGGTGAATAAAGTTTTGCATAATTCCGCAAACACGATAATTATTCAGTTAATGATTAAAGATAATTAGCGCACGAGTACACGCGATGCAATGGAACGTGCTCTTTTAGAAATTTCATCCAAGATGTCTGAATCTATCAACAATCTGTTGACAAGTCACAAATTTTTTTAAATATCTCAGTAATTATCTTTGCCATTTGCAAACAATAAGAATTTTTTGTAAAATGGCACGGAATTTTTTCGTTCAATTTGACGAATTTTACTCGCACACGAGCAAACGTATATATTACGTCAGACACCCTATATACACGATAACACGTACGTCAAAATTTGACTTAAGACAAGAAGGTACGAACACTAGCGCGTATCATTATTCTACACATGGGACAAAATGTAAGAGATGGCGCACAGAAGATACACGTTGCCAAATGTCCGCAAGGTAAAAATACTATAGCTACATCATTATCCATGCAAATTTTGCATAAACGAGCCTCCTTTAACCTTCTGTTCTCCTCTTGTAATGCTGTGAAAGAAGAATAAAAATGAAAAAATAATAATAATGTCATGTGTGTGCGTGTACACATACGCACATATTACTGCGTGTACACACACACACACACACATACGCGCGCGCACACATGTACGCACGCACACATACAGACAGACACAGACAAACGGAACATAACAAAATACATTTATGCGATATATGTGTGCGCATATGTCTTTTTCCCGAGAATTCAAATTATATATATCTATAATGCAAAACATATCTATTCTCATAAAATAACTCCATGTATCATTTAAAACAAAGAATTGCACTATAGAAAGCATCATCAATCACTCCAATTTATTTGAATAATTTTAGTATTTATTCAGATAATAATTTTAAAAGTGAAAACCGTGGTTTCAAGAGCATCAGAATAAAAGTAACGCGAAGAAAAACTAAAAAATATACATAACAGATTCACAGAACGGATATACAACATTAAATTATGTAACATTTTTTACATATATATCACTTACTTATATTATTGGATTTAATATTCTTTTTTCCTTCGAGTTCGTCCTCTTTATTGACTGCATCAGTTTTCTGTTCTTTATCTTCAAAGACTTCAGTTTTGGATCCGCTATTTTCTTGTCCTTTAACTTCGCAGTCTTTCTCTTTATCATCCAAGTTATTCATTTCTGAACATATATTGCGTTTTTCATCGTCGTTGAATGTATTTGTGGAATTATGAGTTGTTTGCACAACAATTCGGTCAGTTGACACAACCAACTCCGAAAATGATGAATCAGAAGCACCACTATCGAGGAAAAAATAATTTTCTGTATATGTCCCGATTAAGCGTACTTGGCGCATACCATACGTTACGCATATGCGTAATAATTCTATTTGCGCATACCTATTATAATCTTCCATAGTTTGATCATGCAGAACATCCTGTATAAGTTCTTCGGCATTTGTATAAGTTACACCACATTCCTCCATTTTTCTTTTTAGAGTTCTCTTTACTCTATCTACAGATAACCCAATTTCAAGCGCACTCTACATTCAAAGATACATGAAGTAATTTATACAGTTAACAATTGACGTAAAAAAGAAAAAAAAAATGAATCGAATCAGGTCGTGCGGAGCAAAGTATCACAAGCCATTTGGTCGAGTATTAGAAATAGCAGTAAAACATGTCTTTTAGTATTTTAGACGAACTTAAAAATATCAAGAAATAAATTTATCGTTACTCCTAATAGTTCCCAAACAGTTTGCAACATTTTGCAGCGTGCAAGAGAGAAATTCAATTAATTCTGTATGCACGATTGATATATAATTAATTAGATTGTTCTACTTGCCAGAGCAGGAGCAGTATCTAGTAATTTCGCGATTACAGAATCTGTTATCAAATTCAAATCAGACCGTGGAACTGTGGAAAGAGATGTAGTTAGAGTTCCTACGACATCCCCACCATCTTCATCTGATATCTCACCCAATATCTTTGTGCAAAAACAAAGAAATATGTTACATACTACATGTACAATTATATATTTTGTTACTCATTTATAGTTAAATCGATAAGATAACGACAAAGTGAAACACAACAGACACCTTAGGATCCAAAGGTGGTCTACTATCGATACAATGTTTCACAAATTCTTGTCCACGCACAAGATTTACAAAGGTACAGGTTGGAAACCATCGTGCATGTTCAGACCACACATCGTCTTTTGGTTCCCAGTTGCGTAGTCCTCCGTCGCAATGGAAACATCTAACTTGATCTTGAGTCCCTGACATATATACGATAAAAATTAATTATTGGAACAAACATTTTATATTAAACATATCATACCAGTGGAGTTATTTGAAAATTAAACACATATAATATAATTCTAACCAGTATAGTAAAATCCAGCAGCTGATAACATCTCTGGTGTTTGTTTATGATCCGTAGGCCATCCTACAAAAGTCCGTAGTCTCTCTTCGTATGTTGTATTTTTTGGATTGCTAGGTGCTGTATGTACTTGTATTCCTAATTCTGTTATGCCTGTTGTTGCGCCAGATACTAAAGTAACATTGGCCAATTCTAACGCTTCTGTCGAGAAGATAAAATAATAGCAAGTAAGTATATCAAATATACAAACATACTTTAGCAGTAGAAACATAGTACGAACATACAAATTACATAAAATTAAAATTTAGCGCGCACGTTCATACATATATACATACACACACACATACACACACAGTATAAAGATACACTGGTGTAAAAAAATAAATAAAAAATACTAATCTAACTGTGTAGGATGTGATAATGTAATCTGATAGTATAATTCAGCAATGTACCATCTTCGGTTTCGTATCTCATATAGAAATCACAATTTGGAAAATGTAATCTATGTTCACTATCTGGATCATCACCAGCTTCCCATTTCGTCAAAACACCTCCACAATAGATGCATTCTACCTGTTGTTTGTATAAAATGACACATGGGAGTTAAGTAGCAGTCTTGGACAAAGTATACAGATACATCCTATCTCTTAACTAACATGCTTACAAGTATACAATTGAACTTATTTATTATTTATTATTGAAACGAAGCTGAAACAAAGCACTGGATGAATACGCGATTTAGAATAATATCAACAGCATGTGTCAAAACATTTTCTCACCAAGTCGCTAAACTGAAGATAGTAGAAACCTGATTTAGCCAATTGCTCCGGGGAAACGACAGAGGATATCGGCCAATTAACAAACGATCGTAATCTTTGCGAAGTAGTACCATAGTCTCTCAAAGGGTTCGTGCTGCGTACAGCGGTCTCCTGTACTTCACCTAGATTACCCTTGATAACGTTGGATTGTCGCGTGACTGGCAACGATGATGTTACAGATGATTCTATCGATACGCTAGCTGACGCCGGTATCAATGGCACGTTGCACGTATCAGCCGAATTGACGACGAAAGGACAAGCAGGTTGGGCTTGTCGATGACGCGCCATAGCCTGGTCGCCGTAATTCCAATCGGATACTGTCGTGCCACACAAGAAACACTGTACCTCCAGACTATGCCCGGTGTAATAAAAGCCCGCTTTTGCGATTCGCGGTGCGTCAACCGCGGCGTTAACTGGCCATTCCTCGAAGGTCTTGAGTCTGTTCTCTTCGACATTCATCCTATACGAATTCAAAGCGTACCGCTATTGGATGTCCACAATTCGGATAAACTCTCGATAAACTATCGCGAGAACACTTTCACGAACGAGTTCACCATGCGTTACTTCGCTTCAATAATATTTAGCTTAAATGTATCGTGGTCACGTAATATCGAGTATTGTTACGGAATATTGTATCAGAAATTTACTTCTTCGGTCGATGACGCACTCATACGTAATCCTCAGACAGTTTTACGCGCAGACGTACGACATCACGATGGTCACCTTTTGAAATGCGCTGAAAGTACTAATTTTTACACGCCTCAACCAATCACATTTAGGCCAAAGTGCTAAAAAGCAATGGGTCTGTTCTCTTTAGCTGCACTGCTGAACCTGGTGCAATAAGTTGGAGTAAAAAAAAATATAGGCTGCGTTCCGATATTCACTATCGGTACTGAAAATATATATAGTTTAGAATAGAATAGAAAATAAATATAGTTTGTATCACGTATGTTATAGATTTTCAACACTGGCAGTGAATATCGGAACGCAGCTATAGTTGTCATACTTATTCCTAACTTATCGCACTAGTTCAGCAGTGCAACTAAAAAGAACAGACCAATAGACGTACGGTCGCAGACATAATAGTGTGTGTCCGTTTTTTTGCAACTTTCGGAACGCATCCCGACTCGAGAAGAATGAGGGCAAGAGTACAGGCTTTTGCATAACGCATAATACATAACGCACAAGCAAATAAACCAATTAGTTTTCTTCATTTCCCTCCTAGGATAGAAATGAAGAACTCTAATTGATTGATTCTCTTATGCGTTGTGTATTATGCGTTATGCAGAAGTCTGTGCTTTGGCCCTCATTCTTCTCGAGTCGAGATGCGTTCCGAAAGTTGCAAAACAACGGGCACACACTATTTGCCGCGACCCTATGTATGTATGTATATATATATATATATATACACGTGATACGTATGAATATACGTATGTATGTGTGGATGGTTTAATGATCTAAAGCCAGCGGCACACGGTGCTTGTTTTCGTGCTGGATTGCTTGCTGGATGAAAATATTGCGTTGTGATTGGTACATTTCCGAAGATGGATGGAAATGCACCAATCAGAACGCAGTATTTTCATCCAGCAAGCAATCCAGCACGAAAACAAGCACCGTGTGCCGCTGGCTTAAGAATTAGAATAGAAATCTGTGTGAATAAAATATGAAGTTACTGGTTATCACTGGTTATCACTGGATGAACAGTAGTGCGTTCCTTTCCGAAATATTTTTTACAATTGCAATAGTAACGAGATCGGCAAAAGTAAGTTATTATTTATTAATTATAAAAATTACATCTTCATCCTCTATATATGATTGTATATTTTAGAGAATATAATTTCATAGATTGTGCAACTGTGAATGTTTAATTATTTTATCTATCCATTCATCTTCAGTCAGCATAAACCTCTAAAGGACGTTTTAAGGATATCCTGAGGATATCCCAACATCCTAAAAACATCCCCAGGATACCTCCAAGATGTTCTTTGGATGTTTTGTGTTGTCTGAGGTCCATCTGTCTAATCGTGAACATCAAACTGCTTTATATAATGATAAGAATGATAAAAGTTATGTGCTATTAGGTTAGTCTTTTGCACTCTTTTGAATGCAATAAGATAAAGTGAAACAAGTATATAACCTAGCCTAGCATTTGCAGCAACATCATTATAAATAAAACTGAAACGAACAAACCTATATTACAAATTACATTCCTTACACACACACGCGCACACACACACACACACACACACACACACACACACAACGCACGCGCGTGCATACATGTATATTTTGTCTCAGAATATATAATTAAAAATCTAGTAATTATACAGTTTAGAAGGTTTGCCCCTAATATTGACAAATTTATGCTTAATCGACACATTTTTACACGAAACGAAAGAATATGGAAGAAAAAAGTCGCTCTGTCCCGCGAAGCAAGATATTGTTGAAGTTAACGACTATTTAGGTTAGGTAACTTGTTATATCAACGATATAGTGACATAAACATGCTCTGTGGACACATATGCATGCAAAAAAATATCGCAATGTTAAAAGGACTTAATCTAATTTAACTTATACCTTTTTACGATATTGTTATAATAATAATATTACAATATATATACATTAATTGTTAAAATGCTTCTGTGTATTTAATTTTTTTCTGTGTTTATGAAAAAACAATGTGTCTATTTGAAACAGTATGCGTTTATACGCGACGAATTTTACAAGAATACGCAAGGTTTACATTCTGTTGGAAAATTACTTCAATTTTTCGTTTTCCTAATTAATAAGTCTATCGTATATTAAAATAGCAGATCCTGGAAAGATTAATAAAGCCTCCTTCAAGGTAAAGGTTTTAAATTAGGCTAGACTTGGTTAATAAATGTATATATTACACTCAGTATAACAGTGTAATTATAACAGCTTCAGTTTAATTCTAATAATCTCAGATTTAGTATATAAATTGAAGTTTTAATAGATATCAACATATGTTTGAAATTCGCGTTCTTTTGCATGGGCACAGTGTTGGGGGCATTTAGGCCCCTTGCACAATGCCAGACAACAGGCAATAAGAATAAAAATATACTAATCACAATCGACTATTACAAGAATAATCTATTGTGATTGGTCTATTTTTATTCTCATTGCCTGTTGCTTGGCATTGTGCAAAGGGCTTTAGTCCCACCGAACCTCCTGCATATGCGTCCATTATGTCACAACTACGTCACAAGTTTTAATAGCGTTCCGTTCCGTTTCATGCATATGCGCGCATTTTTTTTAGTATACATAACATAAACTATACAGAGTGTCGCAGAACCTTGGCACACGGGCTCCGTAGGGATGTAGAGCTAAGTGAGAGGAACAGAGAAGTCTTGTACCATAATGTGAAAATCGCAATATTTTTTTAATTATAACAGCGCAAAGTTTGGCGTTTTCCACGCCCAGCGCGGCCTATAGACGCTCCGCGGCAAGCTGTAAGCGTGGGGGCTGAGCGGTAACGCGACTCGCGTTGCGCGGCGTCAAAGCGCCAAGACGCCATCGCGACAATCAGCATGAGACGTGTTATCGCTCAGTCCCTACGCACACAGCTTGCCGCGGAGCGTTTATAGGCTATGGGCGTGGAAAACGCCAAACTTTGCGCTGTTATAATTAAAAAACTATTACGATTTTCACATTATTTAGGAGAACTTTTTTGTTCCTCCCACTTAGCTCTATGTCTCTACGAAGCTCGTGTCCCAAAGTTCTGAGACACCCTGTAGATAAATGCGCGCATATGCGTGAAACGGAACGCACCGTGGACAAGAGCACAGGTTTTTGCACAACACATAATACATAACGCATAAGAGAATAGACCAATTAGTTTTCTTCATTTCCTTCCTCAGGACAGAAATGAAGAACTCTGATTGGTTGATTCTCTTATGCGTTGTGTATTATGCGTTATGTAGAAGTCTGTGCTCTGGCCCATATCGTATAACATCGTCTAGCCTAAATAGTCATCAACTTTAACGATTAATTATTCGTTTCGCGGGATAGAGCAACTTTTCTTTTCTAGATTCTTTCGTTTCATGTAAAAACGCACCGATTGAGCATAAATTTATCAATATTAGAAGTACGACTTCCAATAAGGAGGTAAACTATATAATTATCATACGTTGAAACAAATTTATCAACGTTGCAATTGTTGAATCTATCCGGATTATCTGGAGAGTAGTTAAATAAAATTATAATTTTCTTTGTTCAGATGCATTTCATCAGCAGCCGCATGTACAGTTCCAAAGTGAAATTAAACGATGTTGTTATAATCAGTGCTGTACGTACTCCCATAGGATCATTTCTAGGATCTTTGTCAAAAGTCTCAGCGACAAAACTTGGTGCAATAGCTGTACAAGTAAGAATTGGAACCATCAGTCGACACAATTGTTACAATTCACTGAGAATTTACTCGGAATTACAATTTACTCAGGATTATATTCCTTTTCACAGGCAGCTGTTGAAAGATCCAGTATCGCTAAAGAACAAGTGAAAGAAGTATATATGGGCAATGTCTGTCAAGGTTTTTTAGGTCAAGCACCTGCAAGACAGGCTGCGTTATTCGCAGGTACTGCAAAAAACCTGTATTTTTTTATAATTAATATTTATATCCGATAAATTATATAATATAAAAATATAATTAGTTTTATAATAATTAATGTTTATAAATTTATATTATATTAATATATACAATATGTGTATGTGTGTGTGTGTGTATGTTATAACGAATAATAATAGTTAAATAATTAGCTGGAGTCTTCAGGATTAATTTGTACACTATTAGGTCTTCCAAAGTCAACAATATGCACTACAGTAAATAAAGTATGCGCAAGTGGCATGAAAAGTATCATGCTGGCTTCTCAGTCTCTACAATGCGGTCATCAAGAGATTGTTCTAGCTGGTGGTATGGAATCTATGTCCAATGTGCCATATTATTTAGCTCGTGGTGCAACATCATATGGTGGATTAAAACTTGAGGTTAAACTATGTCTTTTATCAATTTTGCGTTATCTTATTTCGATGCGATAATTCTGTCCATTTAAGATATCCGGTATTATCACCTCAACTTGTATGTAACGTACACACGCGCGCGCGTATCATGAAAAAATATATTCATAAATATGTTAAAAAGTATAAATATAGCAACTATCACATAATATCATCTTTGATCTCACAGGATGGTATCGTATTCGATGGACTGACGGATGTTTACAACAAATGCCATATGGGTAATTGCGCTGAAAATACGGCTAAAAAATTAAATATCTCTCGTCGGCAGCAGGATGAATACGCCATCAGTAGTTACAAACGTAGCGCAGCGGCTTATGAAAGTAATACATTTAAAGATGAATTGGTACCTGTGAGTGTACCTCAGAAGAAGGGTAAACCGGATGTAATGTTCGACAAAGATGAGGAATACAAAAGGGTCAACTTTGAAAAATTTTCAACACTGAGCACTGTTTTCCAGGTGGAGTGAAATTCAACTCACTAAGATAACATAAAATAACATATGCACGATCAATCCGTTATGAATTACATGAAATTGAAATACATGTTGTATCATATCAACTAAATGCATGTTTGCTTTCGCACATACAGAAAGACAACGGCACAGTTACCGCTGGAAACGCATCCACATTAAACGACGGAGCTGCTGCATTAGTCATGACAAGCAGCGAAGTAGCCGAAAAATTGAATCTTAAACCCTTGGCCAGAGTCGTCGCTTTCCACGACGCAGCAACGGATCCGATAGATTTTCCCATCGCACCAGCTCTCGCAGTACCATCGGTGAGTTGTATATCGATAAACTGTGAGTGAGGGTAGAAATAGTAGAAAGGGAGTTGGTGAAGAATGAAGGAATAATCAATCTGTGCAACCTCTCACAGTTGCTCGAAAATGCTGGAGTTAATAAGAATGACGTAGCGCTTTGGGAGATTAACGAAGCATTCAGTGTAGTAGCTGTAGCAAATCAAAAATTACTCGACATTGATCCTGCCAAGGTAAACGTTCACGGCGGAGCTGTTTCGTTGGGACACCCCATAGGGTAAGATATTACCCCCGTTATTATTCGAATAACTTACTCCATAGGGTAAGTTATTCAAATATAATACGTACGTATTCTATACGCACGCACGCACGCACGCACACGCACACGCGCGCGCGCACATACATATACACACACACACACACGTGTGTACTTTTTTAGCTATTCGAAATGTCGCTTCAACATTTTTGACCGTGAATGAGCAAAATGGAGCGACGTGTTAGCAGTTGAGACGAAGAATTCCGCAGTTGTATGATATACTATTTCATGTCGTATAAAATTAATTAAAATTTTTATGACAAAATCAATCATTTTAAGAATAAAAATTTTTTTATCAGAAATAAATAAAATTTTTATTTTTGAAACGATTGAAATGGAAAAAACTAGCAGGTTGGGTTGAAACAAAGTTAGAACAATGGAAATTGTTGCACAATATGACGACGGAATGAATCAGGAAGTATAAATTTTGTTCATTAGATGTGTCCCGATTTCTCAAATATATTTTGGACGTTGGAGTATGCTATACTACTGGATGTGTTTTTATATGTATTATATAAATATATACATATATATATATATATATACAAATTTATTATATGTTATTATATCGATTATATTGACGATATATGTTTCAGTATGTCAGGTGCACGTATCGTAGTGCATTTGGTGCACGCTCTTAAAGCTGGGGAAAAAGGTGTCGCTTCGATTTGTAACGGTGGTGGCGGTGCGTCATCAATTTTGATTGAAAAACTGTAAGTTTACAAACGACAATCATAGCTGTGCTGTTTATAAAGTAAAAGTAGATTGAAATTACAATTTGTTGGTTGGGACAATAATATTCACACACACATATACACACACGCACACACATCACTGAAAAAATATTGAAAGATAGAGTTCAGAGAAGGAAAAAATTGATTCTATCTAGTGGAATGTTAACCATATTGTTAACCATATTGTTATATTTTTTAAGCAAACATATATATATGTATATATGTGAACATATATATTTTTTCTCATTCCTTGTATAGATAACAAGACTTTTTTATTTTTCTAATATTGTATATATTTTTCCATGTTATATATATATTTTATCATAATATAGAAATAAATACTTTTATATCGGCAGTTGGATCAATTCAATATATAAACCTCAATTTTGAATTTTGCCATCAGAGATTTCTGAGTGGGAAAAAGGTTATTGTATAATTTGTAGGATCAATTCGATTTTACCTCTGCTAAAATTAACGTTGTATACAAAACAATCGTGTCCACTATGTGATGGTCTAAAAAAGGAGTTGCGCTTACGTTTCACCGGTCGGTACAAATTGGAAGAAGTCGACATTAGCGCAGAAGGAAACGAGCGGTATTACAATCAGTACAGGAACGACATACCAGTTCTTTTTGCGGATGGTCAGTATCTGTGCAAACATCGATTAGATGCCGATTTGTTGGAAAGCAGACTGGAGAGATTTGTGTCAGAGAAAAATGTAGGAAGCTGAATTCGTATCGATATGAACTCGATATTACATTAGTTAGTAATGTCGAGATGTAAATCGCATGATGACTTTCGTGTTCGATTTCGAATGTACGAATGTAATTTATTGTATTTTTCTATATCTATATACATGTATACATTAAATTCGTAAAATAAAGAAAAAAATTTTTATCATTGGATGGAGTTGTGAGGTATGTAATTAATATATGGTGGATCAATGAATCAAATAGGATGAAAATGCAATTGTGAATGTAAAATACTTAGCACAGAAGATTATTCAATATTTTTTGGATCATAAATTTTTATAAAATTCTGTGTAATGTAATATTTGTTTTTGTAAGTTAATAATTTTATAATCTTAGGTTATATATGAAGGGCGCGAGCCTGTGTGTAGCTCGGCCTCCAAAACGAAACAATAAAGAGGATAAGAAGGAAATTACGCCATGGACAGGAAAAGCTGAAGTGCACTTAGTCTTCTGACATTTTCAAGAAACGCCATTTATTTCTCACATGCAGTACACTGCGCGTTGCAAATTAGAAGCGAACGACTCGGTAACAAAGAGATGGGATCTCTAGATCCGATTGCCAGTTGCTTTTGGCACGTGCGGTCCCGGGGACGAAGAGAGGCGCTCTCTTTCTCGGACTCAACTCGTAGTGCCGCTCAGATGAGCGGCCGCGGTTGCAGCAACTGCTTGCGCCTGCTGGTAGATGGCGCGGTAGCACCGGGTTCATGCTGATGCGTCATGTGGGCGCGAACGTGCGAGCGCGCGCGGGCGCGGAGACGGTCGGATGCGCTACACGGAACGCACGCATCGCACACACGCTCACAGAGGAAGTTAAGGGGGGCACGCGCATCCGTGCGCCTGATCATGCGTTTAGCACGCGAGCGGTGAGCTCTTTTTCGGTGCTCGAGGAAACAGAAGCAACGCGACGACAAATAGGCGCACAAACTTTATTCTCCGTGCCGCACAAAGCGGCACGCACGCAATAACAGAAATACGCTCGCAAGAAATCAAGAGATCAAGAGACACGGTAGTGTCTCGCATCAAATGAACGCGCGAGCGAAGCGGCGAACCGTGTATTATTATGCGAAACCTCTAGTTGATCATAGGATATATTTTCGTACCGTTATAACGGCTGAACCGATTAGGTTCTGCATAAGCTCAATTGATTCCGCAGGGTCTAATTATATAAGAAAACTATCTTCATTTTTGCTCTGTATATCCTGTGAGCTTAGAAATTTATTCTCAAAGTACGAAATCGTGAGATTAATGAATCGTTCAACAAATGTCCGACTGACTTTACTTCTACTAGAGGGCGTCACGAGGTCACGCGGCTACAAAATGGTCAGTTAAAAGTACATCGTATAAATACATATTCATAGACCATTCAATTAAGAATACACGAATCACGTCGCATATTTTAAAACTCCAAACTGTTCTAGTGGTTGTGTGCGTATGTGTGTGTTATCAAGAGACGCGGCAGTGCTCGCGCCAAGCGAACGCGCGAAGCGAGGCATGGTGTGAGACCGGTCGCGTATTACTACCGACCAACTAGTTTAGCGCAGACAAAATTTCTCGTTTGGCTATAACGTCTGAACGGATGAAGTTCTGGATGGGCTCAATCGATTCCTTAGGATTGATTTACTTAACTAAACTATCTTTATCTTCGTCTTATATACTGAGTGAGAGGAGATATTTTAGTTGGAAGTCCGAAATCGCCAAGTTCCTATCTCAAGATTCTCGTTGTACAAATGTCCAACTGAACTATTGTCCGTTAGATGGCGCTTCGGATATTATCCGTTAGATGGCGCCACGGATAGATGGACTTTAGGGTTTTTGTGTCCTCTTGCTCTCTCGCTGATGCAAGTGGAGGGTAGGTTCCTAAATCAACCTAGGCGTGTTCTTCTTTGGTCCCTTTATTGCGCACGTGCCTGCCAGCTGCAGAGCACATGAGTCACAGGTACAACTTATTCGTTTACAACAAGAAAAATAGTTCTCTGCGCTCGCACGACATATGAGCCACTGCGGGACTCGTATGTATATGTGTGTGTGTCGAACGGAGCCGATGCTCCTGCCTGCCCGCTCTCGCACAATCGCGACCGCGTGCAGATCTCGCGGTGTCACACACGACAAAAAAAGGAATGACTAACTATGAACTAGCGATCGTATATTCGTGAGCTCTGTGTGCGCTTCCAACGGTTACTGTTGACTCGTTGGTCCTTTTTCCCGCACGAGTGACACTTGCGCGCGCTCTATAGCGCCGCACGGAAAACGGATGCGTGCGCTTTTGGGGAGCTCAAAGTCCCCACAGGACAGATACCTTGAGCAGTGATGTGTAACGCTGCCGGTGCGTTCGTAAATGCGTCATGTTCTTTTCGTGTTCGTCCATAGAGATAGCCTTCGATCTTTAGGGCCGGTTTTTCCTACTCATCGGTTAACTTACTAATAGTTAAATCATACGTTTATCCTTGTTTCTCCTTCGAAATAGAGAAAGATAGACATATAATTTATATAATTTAACTGTTAGATAATTTACCAAGATTTTGGAAAAACGGGCGGTAATAGTCGACTGTAATTGGTTAATTTCTTAAAGCTTATGTCTTAGAATTCGATTGTAGACGGGGCTTAGAACGATTTTAAAAATTTCATGTGGTTAGTTGCAAAACATTAGTCCTCACGTAAATTAATAACCATATCACTTATTTATCTATAGAAAATACACTACCATATGTTTAAAAAAGAAACAATATAAAAAGTTTATTTGTAGGAAGTGAATTAATTTTTAAATATGCGTTATTGAGATTTGTGATCAACGAGTATTTATGAAAATACGTGAAATTGCAATATAATATTTATTTTTATTAATCTGACGCCAAATTTGAGTATATAATAAGCATAAAACATATTTCTTTGTGAAAAAGATGTGATATCCTAACAAACCTACCTTTTCGCTAAAAACGTAAAAAAAGCGCCAAATTCACGCATTCCCATTCATTCCCGTTCATTTACTAATATTATAAATAACTAGCTAATATTATAATTGTAAATATACAAAAGCAAATGTTTCTAAAATATATTTTTTATATGATAACAAATCTAAAAACGTTAACATGAAATATTATTCAAATTTCTATTTTTTATAAAAAAAGATATTAAATAGTTTAACCAAATAAAAATAAGACAAAATCAAATTATATAATTTTATTTGTATTTTCTACGAAAACAATGATATCACAAAATTTACGCCAAGTATGTTTACAAATTATTATTTTCTACATTATGTTTTGTTGTTGTTACCTTTTCTTTTGGTCACGCAGGGGAAATGCTCATGGATACCCCCGACCCTTGGGGGGGTCGGAGGTTATGTCGGACTCTTACTAACTACGACTGAAACCCCTGCGGGATGCCTACCGCTCAGACTGAAGTGGGGGGAGTCAGGGGAACTACGCCAGTATTCCCTCCCCGATGTTATTGTTACCTTAACCAAATAAAATTAAAATATTAAAATAAAATATAGTTATTTAAACTTACATTTCCCATAAAAGACACGGTATAGAAAATTAGGTTGAGTCTCAATAATTTTTGCAAAAATAAATATACATTAAAATATTGCATCGATTAAAAATGTAAAATAAATTTATAATTTTATATACAGGGTGTTTGATAGCTGATCATGCAGATGAAAGTTGGAGATAGATTGGGTGTAGCCCGAGAAGAAAAGTCATGTACCATAATGTCAAATTGCCAATAGTTATCGAGTTATTAATTAAAACATGTGAGCCAACGAGCGCGTAGAGAGCGGAGGGCGGCCGTAGTAAGCACGTAGACATTTGATACAGGCGGAGTCAGCGAGTGACGATAGGCGAGCGCGCGCGGCGAGGAGCAACGTAAACGACAAGAGGCGAGCGCGCTTGGTGCAGCCGCGCCAAGATTATTTGTATTAAATATTTTTATTGCATTGTTATAATAATTAATTTGTTACAATAACAAGTAAAATAACTATATAACTCAGTGTTTAATAAATAATGATAAATTTTACTTGTAAAAATTTATGCCACAGACATTTTTTGTAGCTAGGTTTTTCTTGAATAACAATAACCTTTAAAAAGATATTCTTTTTTAGATATTGGACACTATTAATAAACGTGTTAAATTTTTATAATACTATATAATTTTTACTTTTAAACGCTTATGTACATATATATCTTGAAAGAAAAATAATTTGATAAGTTTTATTTGTAAAAACTTATGTTATGTACATAATGTATACTTTGAAGAAGGAAATAATTAGTATTTGAGATTTCTAAAAATATTAAGTATACAATAATCATATATATATGTTAGGTTTCTCAATTGGCGCTACTGTTCTAATATATCACTTCTTTTGTATAGTAGAATAGTGTTGTAGAGTTTTATTATAGTTACAAGTTTTACTTGTAAAAACTTATGTTATGTATACATATATGCCTTAAAAAAATAATTTGAGTTAAAAATTTCTAAAAATAACACAATACGTGTTGCGCTTGTACTTGGTGCCTTGTTTTTACCTTTTTGTTTAAAACGGTAAGTTTTATATAAATTTTACTTATAAAAATTGTATATACGTCACGTATATACACCATTAATATGTAAATGTCATTAATTTATACTTGTAAATTATCTTCACCTAATTCGCGTATTACCTGCACTACTTGCGTTATAATTTTTGTAACGATATAATTTTTACTTTTAAAAGTTTATGTACATATATTATAAAAACTTATGTTATGTACATAATATATATCTTAAAAAAGAAGATAATTTGAATTTGAGATTTCTAAAAATATTAAGTTAAGTATACAATAATCATATATATATATATATGTTAGGTTTCTCAGTTGGCGCTACTGTTCTAATATATCACTTCTTTTGTACAGTAAAAAAGTGTTGCAGAGTTTTATTATAGTTATAAGTTTTACTCGTAATAATAATATACGTGTATATGTATGTTATTACGATTCCCTTTATCTCGCTGCTCCGCGCGCTACTTACAAGCTGCTCGAGTCTCAAGAGCGTGTTTCCAATAGTTTTCCACGTC